CTTGAGCACCGACATAACAGAATTGAGCTGCAACACCAAAGAAGAGCTTGTATTGTCTGCGCATGGGTTTCTCTTCGAATCCTGTAAGACCCGCGGATTGTTCGCCTTGGAGTGCCATATCTGCATCTGTGATTTCTGGAAGTTTGCTGAAGAAGAATACAACAGCGAGGAGGAAGACGAAAGCGGCGATTCCGAGATAGGTCCATTGAACTTTTGATAAATCTTCTCCTTCGCCCTCTTTGAAGAAGACTCTGGAAGCCAAAAGGGGGGCGACAACTGAACCGACAGCCTGAAACGCTTGAGAGAGTTCAAGACGGAACTCTGAAAGACGAGGGGGACCACAGGTAGCGATGAATGGATTTGCAGAGGTTTCAAGAGTACTGAGTCCAGAACCGACAATGAACAAACTTCCACAGAACCCGGGGAAGGATCTGTAGACTGCGGAGGGCCAGAACATCAATGCTCCTACACCGTAGATGCAGAGACCGACAATGAATGTCCATCTGTATCCAAATCGTCGTACTATCCATCCGGAATATGTTAGGGGACCGATGAAGTAAGCACCAAAGTATGCTCCTTGCAAACCTCCGGCCTTGGCAGCAGTAATGTTGAGTGCGGTCTGGAACTTAGCATTCAAGACATCGAGGAGTCCGTAGGCGAAACCCCAGAGAAAAAATAGGATTGTGACAAGGGTGATAGGGTAGATAGATTGTCTGACAGTCAAGGCTGCAGCGCCAGTCAAGCCGGTATTACCAACCGATCGGTTGTCCATTACTTCGGCATTGGAAGGACGACGCTGTTCCAAGACATCTTGAACTTCGGGTTCCGTCTTCTTTCCAAACATGATGACGTCGGTAGTTGGTTCGAGGATGGTGTTGGGGAATTAATAAAAGTGATTGGATTGGGATCTGGATGTGGAAAGAAAGATGAGATAATGAAAGAGAAGAGAGCAAGAAGTATCAGTCAGATGAGACTTGTCGAACTGTCTGGTCTTCCGAAAAAGAGGATATTCGCTTTCCTATTTATCACCACTTGGAGATTTCCCCAATGCCCACAATATCCCCAACATTGAAATTTTCGGTGAAATGCTCCTTGGCCCTTCTAGTCACATACTCCCACACTTCTTGCCTGCGCTAGCTGATCAAGAGTTTCCAGGAACTATCCTTACAGTAATGGCGTGTACTATTATACCTGACTACACCACTTTCAGTTACAAATCCAAAACATTTCCCATCCTTAACGCAAAATGAACACATGAAAGGGGCATTTCCCGATACGCATTGTTATGATTGGGTAACCCACCTAAAAGTGGGTATTAGATGTCTCTAGAGTCTCGAGGGACTCGCCGCACCGCAAACACCAAGGGATTCGCGTCAATACACCCCCATGTCTAGAGCAACTACCACAAAACCCTCGAGCATCCTTGGAGGAGAAAAATTAGATCCATATTTGAGGCTGTGCCATTGGCCAAGTCTTGCAATTCAGCGAATTTCCCCCGCACCCCGTGGTGCCCCGCGTTACTTTAGACGCTTGGCGCAAAGTATGTTCCCACTTTTTTTTCATCATCAACATGAACATGGCATTTAGATTCCAAATGAACGAATTTCAGAAAGTTTGAGTAGATCGAGAATCTGCGCATCGGGTTGGCTTCTATCGGATCGTGTCATTTAATTGGTCTCCATGTTCCCCACGGCGATACCGGTGCCACGCATGAGGCTCTTTGTCGAAGAATATCTTGGCCCGGACTCGCCAGGGCCAAGAGCTTTACTTACTTGCTTGGCTGGAGACGGTTCAAAAATTTCGGCGAAATTATGGATTCGCTGCTTCCCCAAACATCATTAGGCTTGTTAGGAGAGAATTGGCATGCATCGATTGAGCGATAGAAAATGATCTCGAACAATTACCTTACGACAGATATCAACAACACGGTACGCATTGACGCTTTGTTCTTGAAGAGAAAGTTAGAGTTTCCAAACCAACATCTCAATCTGTTGTCTCATGAGCTAGAACACACTAAGAAGAATGACATTCGAGAAGGCCAAGTAATTGCCTAAGAGTGGTGGTAGATATTGAATTTCCTTCTAGCCTCTGACCACGCAATGAGGTCAATATTGCCCAGAGATGTGGCCACCACAATCTCATATCTAGAGTCAACAGATTCTTGTTTGTCAGTCAGTTGACATACTACATGACAAGAAGGCGACAAAACTTTCATTTTCGTTCGAGAACATACAAAAACCTTCTCTCAAGCTCCAAGGCAATGCTACTCATTACTCAATAATTTGATACAATTCTCGTCTCAAATGGCTTCTTTCCTAGCTCCCTATCCATGTTCCCCAGACCACATCAAGTTCCCCAGATTACCTCCTCATTTTGACCAAAGCTTCGCGACAAGACCTCCAAGACCTTTCTTTCCATCCCTCCTAACAAAATCGCGATACTTCTCCAATTCTAGCTCGTATTCGTCTTTCATGTCTTGGTATTCGCTTTCTCCATCCTCATCCGTTCTGAAGTATTTTTCAAACTCCTCCCCAGACCAATTTCTCAGCTTGTCCTTCATCTTCAGGCTCTGGCGCGCAAAGACCGTGTATTGAAATTCCTCCTTCTCATAATATGGCTGCTCATAAAAGAAAGCCATAGTACGACGCCAACTAAGTATGTCGAGAAAGCGAGTGCAGTGCTTGCTTTCTAGTACGAAATCGGGATGAAAACCAGCGTACATGCGTTTATAAACTTCCACGTCCGTCCGCTTATACTTCCCAGCAATATCTTGGTATAAAAGCGCGTCTGCGATGGCGTTGCCAATGTTGAGTAATTCCTCTCCAGACCCTGCGATCTTGATCTGTAGCGTCGCAGAGCCCATCTTCATCTTCTCCGTCGATACTTTGTGAGTTCGTATCTGGGCACCAATCTTGAGGAACGGTTTCATGAGGTTTGCCTCTTTCGTCAGGGTTTTGACTTGGGCTTCTAACTCGCGGACTTTGTTTTCGGTTTCGCGCAACTTCTGCTCTTTGTCGCGCAATTTTTGGTTGTGGATGTTGTGGAAGATTCTATCTGATGCGACAAGTCGATCTGTAACTGTGCTGCAACCTATACAAGGTCCAATGGGTAACTGGCTAGGAGGATTCATACTGAGGACAGATGCAGGTGGACGTGTCGTTGGTTGGTAGAGTGGTTACTTGGGTCAAATCTGCCGAAGATACATATTAGAGACTTTGATGCGCCGCTATGGCAGAAGTGAAGCGACTCACATATTGTGAAGATGGAAGAACTCACGTATTGAATTTGACGCGCCTCCAAAAAAGGTGAATCAATAAATGCGAGAAGGGTAAAAAGTCTATTAAGGTGATTGGGCCAAAAGTGAATTTGGGTGAATTGATCAAATTATCTCTGACTGAGCTGGTTTATCTGTGAGTCAACTTGAGATTGTAGTCCGGACAACAATATTTGATGATATATTTTCCAATGTAGAAGCTATCCAGAAACATTCTGATGACTTCGAAGAGTATCAGATGCGAATGCAATCAAGTTGCCATAACGTTGCTTTCATAATGGATGTTGTAGTCTTGCTATGTATATCTTCCACGATAGTTGCAATATTGAAGTCAAGGGGTTTGAAGATAGACACACAGTTGTCCTGAAAGTCGCAGGTCTGTCGATAAAAGAAGGTAATATGAATGCAATCAAAGACAGATTCAAAAATTTTACCAACAGGAGAAGCTAATAAGTAATGCTTAAACGGATCGCTTCGTATGAAAAGAGGATTACTATCTTCAAGAATGTAGATGGTTATGAATGGCTAAGATAATATACGTTGTTCGTTCCTTCCTCTGGAGTTTGAAATTCAAACTTTGACCTAATTCGATCTCTCATTCAACTCTATCAGACCTCAACATACAATTCATTCTTCAAGAAAAGTCCGTAATCTATGAATACATTGGTGGCTATCTTATCTTGCGATTTCGTCGTTTCTGATGCTTTCTGGGTTCTTTTGAAACCCTCTTAACTTCAGCTCTGTCTTTGTCGTTTGTTGAGAATTGTCAATATCGATAGCAAAGATTATTTTCTGGACCAGATGGATATCTAATTTTTCCTGTCTGTATCCAAAGTTCAAACCTGAAGCATGCTATCCACCGATTCCTTACATCTATGGTTGGTATTATGGATGACTGAGTGGTCATTCTGCTCTTGTGTATACATACAACGAGTGTCGAAATCGTGATTGTAGAATTAGTAATTTTGACTTGCCATCTATCATACTTGCTGCAGAAATATCGCAGTATTTCATCTACATTAGGCTTCCGCCAATTAGTCAATTCGTTCGTCTCCGTGGTATACCGCCCGCTTTGAGGGGTGTATTTGACGATTCAAACTTTCTTCATGTCCGCACTTCTCTTCTAATATTTCCGCGTTTCTTCGGGAATCTTGAGAAATTTATGCTTCTAAGTCAAGGAAGATGACGTCTCAATATGTCAGATTGAATGTTCGAGAGCTTGAGAGTGCGCAAAAGCTCCTTCTACAGTTTAATATGGAACTTCTTCAACTACAAAGCCTCTCTAGCAAGTAGAATACACCAGCTATTTTCATAGAATACACTTTGACGAAGATTTGTAATGGAGACGGTGAACTTTATTCTATTTTTAATTGCTTGGTTCTTTCATCCTAATAAATCGATCGGTCTATATTCGAATTCTCCATGTTTTGACCGTTATGTCCGAGTGTCCTACAGGTAATTAGCATTATGTGTGTGAAATTAATGAACTTCTGACTCACCAATTCGATTTTCGGCGCCTCTTCTCGTATTCTGCAGCTTCATTGTATTTCGAACACATTGAAGAAAATATAGAATCCAAGTTGACGTCGAAATTCTCTTCTTCATCGATATTTCCCTTATAAATGATCTCCTCATTGCGTGCTCTAGGGAGCTCACGAGCGCAGCAATATCTCGATACGGAAAATGTTCTTTTCGAGTTCCGTGATTCGATTTTCGCAATTCTCATTCAGAGCTTCGATATCAGTCTCGAGTTTCGTGATTTGAGCTTTATAACTCGCATTAAGGAGTCAATAGCTTTCTGGTGGGCGTCTTTAAGCTTTTCTTGCTTGATTCTTTCTTCCGTGCGATTTATTTTCGCTTGTTCTTTCATGCCACTTATTTCCTTGCTATGAGACGCTATCAACTTTTCCTGGCAGTTTATCGTTTCTACTTTCTGTGCCAATAATTCAGTTCTGAGACTTGTAATCTCTTCGTTCACCTTACAGCTCATTTTACGTTGATGGCCAGACTCGCAGAAAAGCGCTTGCGAGATTTCGAGGTTTTCCAGGTATGAATACGAAGCCTGCCACTTTCTGACAAGAGCTCTGTAGTACTATAGAATGAGATCAGTATTAAGTACACGGTCCACTACATTCTTTTAACATATTGGAAGACTCACCGAGGGACCAGTCTTTTGACTTAATATCCTGGCTTGCACCATCTCGGCCAAAGAATTTTGCCAATCCATTTTCTTTTCTGCCTGCATTTGAGTGAGCACTACCCCAGCTGTCGTCATCTCTTCCTTTTGTGTTTTCAGGGAAAACCCAGACAGAATGCCGACATCGCTTTGGGTAAGTGACCGGGATAGATTGGCTAGATTTATTTTCAAATCTTTTATCCGAGCTGATTTTAATGCACAGTTCTCATAATCGGCATTCGCTTCTTCTGCAGGGCCACTAGTAAGACATTTGTCCACGTTTGAAGGCCCTGGTTTCGCTTCAATACCTTTAGACATATTTTTTCGCTGCAGTTCGAGTATCGTTGCTTTTAGACGTTCCACCTCGCTTAGATGGAACAATCGTTCCTTGACGAAATTTTGTTTCAATATTTCTGTAGTGATACATCCAGCTTGTATGATAGACTTGAGCTCCTTCACTGTTGCTTGTAGCTTCTCCTTCTCTATCTTTGAGACTCTAATCCTACCCTCAAACTTTACGACGTCATCTCCATATCCCTCCGCAAGTCCTGCATAAGCTTCTTTTCTGTTCTGTAATTCTTCTTGTGTGTTCTTCAAATTTGACTCGAGATTTTTGATGACAAGATTTAATGCAGAGTTTTCGGCTTGTGATTTTTCATGGGAATTTTTGAGCATATCCTGTGTATCCTTGAGTTTATCCTCTAGACGTCGCGTTTCACTTCGCGATGCATTCGAATCCGTTTCTTGGCTCTGAAAACAAGATTGTAGTTTCTGGATCAATTCCATTGGGTTATCCAAGAGAGGTGTCTCATCAGCAGTTGTACTCTCTGCTGTTGTCTCCTTGGCAGGTGACTCCTTGACCGGTATGTCTTGGGTGCGAGCTGATTTTGAATTGTATTTGGTAGTAGCATTGCCAGACTTTTTCCGGCTGCCATTCTTGTTGTTTCGTTTTCCCATTTTGAGTTCGTCAAAAGAGTTATGGAATGAAGACGGTTTCTGAGTTGTCGATGATGTCGAGAATAATAGAAAATCTGATTATCAAAAGCTGTTGTTAAGAAGTTGACTGACATTCTAGGAAAATCATGTCCTAATAAATGCTGTGCCCCTACTACAGTTGTTGATGATGATATTTATACAGCTCCTGTTGACCAAGAATGTGCTCGGTCCTTTGATCCACGCTAATTCCCGAGGTCTATTAAGCAATGTTAGTTCATATAAGGTTTGTAGTGTAGATATATAAAGAATTGACAAGTCAATTATTAATTATGTTATCCTGAGATATCAATCTGTAGGAACTAGACACTACTTGTTATTCACCAACCTGATACGGTAAAAGTACGTTTTGAATGATGAATATCAAGTGAAACGAAAAGAAACAATGGTCACAAAGCTACACTTATGGTAAAATCAAACTAAAATTTGAGCAATATCATCCGAACTCCCTATTGAGTCTTTCACCTTAAGATTGTCTTTTTAAATAATCTCCTGATATTCACCGGGGCTTTGTTGGTCATCATGTGTAAACCTATTTTTTTAAAGCTCAGCCTGTATGCAAGTGTAGGGAGCCACTATGACAGCTGAAGAATCTAGACGAAATGTTTTGATATAAAGCCCCAAATCTTTAGTATATACTTTAACAGACATGACAGACCTGGGAATCGAATCCTATGTATGATTTGATCGATAGTTTTTCCTCTTCTTTCCTCAAGTATTGACCAGGGAGTATTGGTTTTCGTCATATGATGATTAGTTTGTTGATTCTATTACAGAAGTATTACTGATCTAAGAAGTCAATCTATAGAAATGACAGACCTTCAAATATCACCTACCTATTCCGTTCTTGACAGTTAGGTACACTGTATAGAGAAGATATTAGATTGGGGATAGAAATTTATTCATGACGCCACTTCACTCTGGTCATATCTTAAATGAACAAATTTGGATTCAAAAGTAATTGAAGTATTTAACTGACTAATCGGTTTCCAGAATTGAATTATCAAAGACAGAATTGTATAGATGCATTTTAACAGGGCCCCTCTGTTCGATGGTCATCATGCTAGTAATAGCACGGATACATTAAAGGAATATAAAACCAACAATTTGTGAGCTAAGTGTGTATGATTGAGATCTCCATTCGCGTCTGGCGTTTGATCTTAATGCTTAGTCCAGGGCAAGGCATCTTTTGCGGAGGAGAAGAACTCTTTACCATATTCCTCGATTTGGTCGAGTTTGCTTCTGCTCTGAGTCTCTGCCGTCCAAATCGAAGCGTTAGATTTTACGCTTCGGAAGCTTCCTCCGAAAATAGACTTCCTTTTTCTGCATTTAATTAGTAAAATATAGAGTGTAAAGATATTCATGTACTTACGGATCTCTGCTCTCTCGAAACTGCTTTTTTTGGCAGACTCTTGCAATATCCCAGATACTACATAATTTCTGGAACATTTCTCTTCCGCTCTTACTCTCCAACAGAAACCTATCAATTGACTCCGGTGTTACCTTTGAATTTTTCTCCAGACTTCCCGTTAAAAGTTTCTGAAATCCCTCTTCGAATTCTGAATCAACAGCCCGGTTTTCTGCGCCGCATCTGTACAATTCATAACGCATATTTATAAGCTTCACAAACGCTGCGCTTTCTCCGTATCTCTCCGCCGTGTCTATAGCTACACCATATATCTCCTGAAACCATACTTTCTCATTGTGATCAGGATTGGATTTTATTCGAAAAACGTCGGCCAGACAACTACATAAATATTAGCAAGTGAGACCATGAGGAATAAGTATAGATTTCACTTACGTTCCGCCATGTGCTGCGATATTACCTGTCTCAATAACATGGTCATCCCGAATCTCATGTGGCTTCGTCAGCTCTCTCTTGCGGTTCAAGATGCTGACAGAAACTTCACGATGAGCAGCTAGTTCCCGACGTACTCTCTGCATCTCAGCGACTGAAGCTAACCTTTCTTCTTCGAGTTTGGCGATTATGTTTTCTTGTTCCTTTAGCTTCTGCTCAGACTCTGTCTTCACCAGAGCTACCGCAGATTCGTATTCCTTTTCAATATTGGTAATGATGACGCTCTGTTCTATCAAGCTCTTCTCATAGGTCTTTTTGAATGTAGCTGACAAGGTCTTGTGTTTCTGTTCAACAAAGGCGATACCAGTTTTCACTTCCTTCACCTTCGCCTCATGCTCCCTTAATCATCTTGGCCACTGATGATTTCTCCTTTTCTTTGATGCTTGCAATAATTTCACCTTGTTCCTTCATCTCTCTCTCATGCTTACTTTTCATTTCAAGAATTGAGATAACCTGGTTATTTTCTCTTTCCTGAACGCTTGAAAGAACACTAGCTTGCACCTTCAACTTTTTCTCTTGCTCAATGCTGTTGAGCTTTAACTTCGCGTTCTCAGCCGAAATCTCGGAATCCTCAGAACGGATTTCAGTCACTGCTTTTGCTAAAGCTTCCGATTGTGCATCGAGCTTCAGAAATTGATCCTCGAGTCCCTTCTTACTCATAATTATCTCAAGATCATCTCGTCTAGTGTGCGTCATCTGCCAAGATGCAACCGCAGATTCGTATTCCTAATAAGGCTATTAGCTTTTTTCTCACAACTCTTGGTAGGGGGTGGAAGCTACCTCTCGATCTTTCCATAAGCGGGTTGTATCGAAAATCTGTCTCTTTCGCATGATATCACGAATTAGAGGTGCCCAAGTCTCTCTCGCTTTAAGCTGAGCATCGTTGTAGACTATGTTTGATTCGGCGTCGATTTTTTCAAATATGCCAATCCTGATCTTGGTCAACCTTTTCTCTGCCCCAGCTATTTCATTGGCGATACCCAATTCCCTGATTGCCACGCGAAGCCATCTGTTTTCCGTTTTCAATTTCAAATTAGCTTGTTTGAGTTTATTGATCTCCGAGGTTTGGAATGGCTCTACGGGCGCGCTCAGAACGTCGTTCCGATACGTGCGCTGAATGCTGGTCGGGGCGTCTTTGGTCGACATTTTAGACTATGTAGAGTTTGAAGTAAAACACAGTAAGACTTGGGTGGCTATTCTAAAGTTGCGACTATGATTTTTCGTTCGTAATCAAACATCGAAATATATGGAGAGTGTGGTGGATATTTATGTATATGTATTCCAAAAGACCGGGGTGACCACTTTTGTACCACCAAGCTAAGCGAAAATTATAAGTTTTACTACTGCTAATTTAATATCATGTTTCAATTCACTCGAGATACAGTCTGCCAAGTGTCGGTACAGGCTTGTAGGAAAAATAAGAATCTAATTATTCTCAAGAAACACAAACAAGTATTGCAATACATGAGACCTAACTATGTCATTTAAGTTGGGCCATCTGGATGATGGAATGTATTAGAAACTTCTCAGAGGGATTGATGTGCGAAGAACAAAGTTAAAGAATGTAATGATCATATTCAGGTTATCTTGAATTAAAGTATTGAGCCTCGATACGTGTGCCTAGAGCCCAGCTATATGCGCATCTTATGATCACCTGGGCATACTGCGGTCACTTGAAACATACATATGGTGAATAACTAATCCTGTTGATTTCTCTCTTGACTCTTTGGCATGTCTGGTCTGCAATGTTACCCTATGTATTCATTCTCTGGGTCTTCTAGGCAGGGTAATTGGAGTAATGTGACCGATAGATTACAAGAATATGAGAATTACGTTATACCCTTGCTGGATTCGTTTATTAGTTTCTTGAATATTTGTTTATATACTTAATTTTATTATGTGGTTTAAATAAGAGGACTATCCTCGGGAACTAATTGCTGAATAATCTATTTAATCAAGGGAAACTCGACAAATAAGATTCTTCACTAATTCACATGAACGTGCTTTTCCATAGCTCTATAGTAGTAGAATCATAATTGAAACAAACAAAAATTCAATATGGATCCTCATATAAATTATATATATCATGATGTTAATAATAAATTTGTTATTAACAAATAACTCTCTTCATTTATAACAAATGCAATTAATGCTTTTTGCAATTTATTTATTATTGACTTTTTTTAAATAAAAAAAGAAAAAAGAAGTTTTAAAAGAAGGCCTTAGGGATTTGAAGATCTTTGGATATTAGAGTTGGAGGAAAAGTGAATAGAAGGGAATGAGTATAAGAGTTAGAAAAAGAAGAAAAGGAATGAATATAGAAGTTAGTATAAGGAAAGAAGCAAGTGTAGAAGTTAAACAATAGGTGGAAGATATTAGTCGAAAATCTAAAAAGGAGGAGATCTTTATTCCTTGTTATTCATTTTCAATTTATTCTTTAATCAAAAGCTTTATTATTATGTTATACAATACGAAATGTATCGAATAAATAAAAAAGCTATTTGATTCGAATATAAATAGATATTTTAATTTGAAAATGGTTACCTTAAACTATTAAAACTTAATAGCTTTTCAAATTCAAGAATTTCATTAAAACTTTATTAATTGAAATAAGCTTTATAGAATGTAGATTTTTAAATTAATCATATTAATATATTAAAAACGATCCTTTTAATATATAATTGAAAACCCTAGATTTTATTGTGGTTAACGAAACAATCACTTTGTTGACCACGGATTCTGCCACCACAGGGTATGAAGTCAAGAATCTAAGAAAACAAAGATATGCACATACTAAGTACATCTATCCTAATTAATTGAAGTCGAGTATATCAAATATAAACATCATCGGATCATTCTATTATACCTATCAAGGGACAGTTATTTCTTGCGCCATTCCCTCCTCCCACAGAATGCAAAGGTCGTAATAGGCGGCTCTAATTTCCGTATCCGTATTTCCCACAAGGATGCTTTGCATTGATTCAGTTCCCCGAGCCTTGATCAAAATCTTCTCCAGCAGCTCTTGAAAATCTTCTTCAAAAACATCAGCAATATCTTTAACGTTGTATTTATAGCAATAAACCTCGTATCTCATATTGATGAGCCTTCTGAACGCCGCGCTGCTTTCGAATTTCAACATAATATCGGGGGATATCCCGTAGTATTCTTCATACCATCCCAAGTCGTTGTTGTTAGTTGATTTGATACGGTAAGCATCTGCGAGACACCTTCTAAAATGTTAGTAATCAGATCTCCAACATATTGAATAAGAAATAGATTAACTCACGTTCCTCCATGCGCAACCTTATTGCCCTTTTCAATGATCTTACTGTCGCGTAGATGAATGTATTTACTCCATTCGCTTTTTCTGCTTAAAATACCTTCAACTACTTCGCTGTAAACTTCAAGCACATGATCTAGGTCCATAAGCTCATGATTCCGATTATGAAGAGTGCTTCGTAGTTCCTCCCCTTCTTTCATAAGATTGCCAATAATATGATCCTTTCCGCTCAATTGTTCGCACGAATGTTTTAATTGAGCACGTACTGATTTGGCAAGCTTATCACTTTGTGCCTTAGCTTTATCAGCAGCCAATGCCCGCGTTGATATTTCTTTGCACTGGATTTCTATATTTTTCAAGCGATTGGTGAGCAGGTGGACCAATCTGCTCTCTTCAGACAACTTCTGCTTTATACTGTCTAGCATGCTCTCTACAAGTGAACATCTCTCAGCCAACATCTTTGAGGCGTTGCAACGAGACTGGATCAATGCGGACTGAAGAAGTTTGTTACCCCTACGAAGTGCTGCCTTCTCCTTGATGAGTCTGTCTCGTTCTCGTTGATGCTGAGATCGAATTTTCATATTTTGGCGTCTGGATTTCAAGTATAGATTTTTCCAGTCGATTGTATCATCACTTGTATGAGAGTTTTCCTTATTCTCAAGCACTAAGGTATTCAAGATCATCGGAATACCATTCATGCTTTCATGACTGGTAAGCTGTGATATATTCGGTAGTAATGCTGTCAAGGACTTTTGGGGTCTCGGGGCGGAAATCGGGGGTTTTCGGTCCGTCATTGCTGATTCGTTAGCCAGCAAGTGTATATAGTTAGTTATAGTGTCGATCCTCTTATTTGATGGAAAGCTTTTGCGATAAGAGACCGAAAAATCCAAAAAGGGTATAGTTATGGTTGCAGATATGAAAGAAATCTTCGTGAAATGATGATCAATAATGAACGAAGAGAATGGGCTCAGTGTTGTAAATGCTTGAAGATTTTATGCTAAGATGTCAAATGTTGGGGCAGTCATTTGATTGTACTGAATATGGCGCTAGCGGCTCGAAACTGCAGTAGCAGCAGCTTCATATAGTTTCAGATAGCTTCAATTGCATTTAGGCTGATCCATTTAGGAACGTAAGTAGTATGAGCTACAGTATTATAGCGACCGCGCCACATCCTCGGTAGACGCATTTCGGTGCCGTAGCTAGTTCATCCACGAGAAGTCGCATTTGTATTGAACTTTTCGAATAGACAATAGGTCACTATGACTTCAAACACACTTCCTAGCTAAATTCGAACTCCTGGCCTTTCCAATCGTCTATCTAACACCCAAAGACATGTATAATATGACAGTACTATTCGTAAGCCCACGGGAGTTCATATGAGGAATTAAGCGAGATTCACGTGTTCTATTCAGGTACGGTAGGTAGAAAACAAATGATTGGACTAGACTAGTGTTTTTCTCTGATAGTTGATGGCTGAGCGAAGATATCATCATTAATCATTAATTTTAGAGAAGAAACTAGTCCAACTTCTTCAGTTCGAGTTTTAATACTCACTAGCGATGGCGGGCGTATCATTATCTGTGTAGGTCGTGACGACTAATCGTAGTTTGAGAACATCTGGGTCAAGTGTTTTTGTATTATATACTTGAATAATTGTATATGCTCATATTGTTTGAGGAGACTTCGCATGCAGCTGTTGTTCCTTCGTGGTAGTTATCTTCACTTTTTGGTTTCGAGTTATGTGTATGAGTAAGTTGAAAATGTTTATAAATACATTATTCTATGTACTTGCCAGTATGACCCATGTGTATCGTCTATGTTGTCCTTATAAAGCCTTGAGTTATCAGAAAACAAGTAATCTTTCTCGTCACAGGCCAGCTGTTCCCACACCGAAGTAACCGTCCAGGCTCCAGCCTAGAGAATTTTCTCTATTGCACTTTTCACACCCTCACTGATAGTCCCCATGATGCTGCTAATTTTATTCCATCGAGACCGATTTGTTTTCGCAGACAGGTAGGATCTGCGTCCGAAAGACATCGCTTTGCTGTTTTTGTGTCTAGTTAGCATACTTGAATAGAAGTATAAGATTAGAATTAGTGCTACTTACGAATCCTTCCTGATCTCCCTGCGAGTGGTCTGATCTCTATCAACTGCAGCGACCCATTTGCTGCAAACGTCTTGAAACAATTTCTTGACAACTGGATCCTTCAATAGTAGTGCCTCCATAATATATGAACTGTCTTTATCAGTCTCGCCTTCTGCGGGTAGGCTTTCGTTAATCTGCGTCTTTATTCTCTGAAACGTAGTCTCAAATTCGCTAATAACTTGCTGATCGATGTATTCGAGATTTCGCAAGTCGAATCGCATGTTAATGAGTTTTCGAAATGCAGAACTTGCTTTAAACCTCTGAGCACCTTTGTCTGTTACGCCATAACCATTTTCAAACCAGTCTGAGTCGACATCCATAGGCTTGATTTCCATTCTCTGCAAGTCTGCTAAGCATCTATTAGTTTGATTAGTAAGTTTTCAATTGTCTTAACTAATTGAAATCACTGACTTTCCACCATGAGCAGCAGAATTGCCTTCCTCAATCAGGGTTGAGTTTCTCAAGTTACCTGGCTTGGAAAGCTCCCTCTTGCGGCCAAGTATATGCACTGCAACCTCGATTAGTGGTTCGTATTTTTTGTCAAGAGATACGAGATCTGCGATGGAGGAAGTCTTAAGGTTGGCAATCTCCGTGTTCTTAATATGAAGAGATGCCGCATGTTCTTTTGCCATATTCTCAACAAGTAGCCTGTTCTGGTTCTTCCATTCAAGTAGCTGGGCAATTTTGGTGTCCTGTCTCTGGATAATTCTGTCCGCTTCTATTAACTCTTTGCGAGCTATTTTCAACTCTATTTCCTTCGAGTCGTCTAAGATAGGCATGGCGACTGGCTCAATCTTCTCCTCAGTATGGTGATTTTTCCGACCAGAGAGTAGTTCAGAAGCGGCATCACGAGCTTTAGGAATCACTTTTGTTCCGCGTTTTTGGAGTTCCACCCAAGTTATTCCTTCTCCCCCCTGGTTTATTGAGAACTGTATAGTACTCGTAGTAGAATCTGCTGTACGAGTTTCCAATACATCTATGATTGTAGGAAGCTCGGTGGTGTTTTGTTGTTCGTTTGTTCCATTCACGGTACTCCCCCTTGTATTGAACGCTATCTCTAGCTTACGAACGACTTCTTCTTTCCTGTTTTCGGGTACTAAACTCAAATTAAAGAATCCGTGATCGAGATCTATCAGAAAAGTTTCTCGGTCTGCTTCGGGGATGTCCATGAAATTGATGACGTCTTTATTGACCGAGACTCCATTTTTTCGGGAAGAGGATTGCGAAGCCGACATCGTAGAGATTTCAGAAAGACGGACTATATTTGGGAGTAATTGTTGAATATTGGAGAGGTGAGGCTGTCACCACGTCGGAGAAATACTTGAGGTAGTGTGAAAGAGGCAGATTGCAAGCACTGATAGGAAACTGTGTTGGTATTATTGCAGTCAAACTTAACGTCGTAGTCTTAAACAAAAGGAAGTAATAACATGTAAACATTACTCGAGTATGGTTCTTTCAATTCTGATTCAAAAGTTTTTATTTCCTGAGTATACAACTGAAGTCATACAGGGTTATCTTTCCCCGAGATTACCCCTTTGCCTCATTAAAGCATGCAATCTCGAGTGCTTGATGAGCTTGTGACTCTCTTCAAGTAGTGAATTTAGTGAAAACTAATGAATTTCTAATGTAAATAAAGATTCAACAAAATTGAGGAGTGGAGAGATAGGTGTCAAGGTTCACAAAGAACATAGATTAACAAGTTATTTAAATAGATTATTCATGATGAAGCATGCAACAGTGTACTGCTAAGGTTTAGTCATCTATTATATAGGCTACAGTATATATGTATATAGATTTGAAAACAGAACTTGTAAAAGCATAATCAATGCACACTTTCCAATAGAGTGGCACTAAACTTGCTTGTGTCTTTCATCAACGATGTGTTTTCCTACTAGGCGAAGTTGCCAGGGGGTCGTAAAAAGTACATGAGATAAGGTCGACAGTAAAGACTGTATATTGTGAAACAGAAATTCCAGTGAACAGGAAGACTCAGCAAAGTTCAGGGCCAACTTCCATCTCGAAAGGAAAATTTTTCTTTGTAGAATTTTTCTTCCGAATGATTCATGGATAACTAATCACTTGGGATAGTGTCATTCCATTTTGGGATGTTCCAGCATATCCAGACCAAAAACCTATTCATCGCAAAAATTTAAGATTATTATCAGTGTAGGATTAGATGTATGAGACTGGGGAAATCAATCTCAGTCTTAAGGTTAATTAGATGTTATGCATTGTTGTAATTTGTTTGATCAAAGTCATGAGCTAAATCAGGTACTTATCTCATCTTAGTGTAAAAATTTCCGAATCCCACCTGCTAGGACATAACAAGAGACCATATGAGGAAGCTCCAGGCTAGTTTTAGTGTTTTTTTGACTTTCAAATACAAAACCCTCCCCTTCGCTTCATCTAGAGCCCCAATCAAAGGTTTTAAATCTGTTTAATTTGACGTTCAATTTTGTTCAAATGTTGAAGCTTCTTGCATGCATTAGACGTACTTTAGCTATGAGAACTACCATTGGATGCTGCAGCTGATGAAGATTCTTTTCCTTTGTAGACTCCAGGTCCAGAGGCAACTAAAGCTTGAAGCCCCCATAGCTTTCCGCCAGCTGAGGCAAGTTGCAAAATGATAAACGGCCATTAATGAGCTTAAGGTCTTCTTGTACTTTTCCGGAATCCTAGTTTCTGAGACTAGTATTGAGGCAGCATCTGGAATCATGCGGTGGATTTTGTATCATGACCATATTTATCACATCATACATAGGCATCGCGTGCTGTATGACTTCTAGATTGTATGACGCCCTCCCTGTGAACAGCGCCGACCGATTCTGGGTTCAGATTTCAGTTCCATTCTTCGGGCCCGAACCTCAAGGTTGATGCTATCCATTGCATCTAGTCGGACTCCGTCATCTCTCGACTCAATATTCATGTCTCCAAGTGCTTACTCTCAGCAGATAAATTACGGAATCTACTGCTAATATACTTCATCATGAAGTTGTATCATCTCATAGCTTCTTCCATGTTCTTTGCTGGTCATCTTGGTACTTCTATTGTAGTAGCGATTTCTTCCAGCTAGTCCAAGACGCTTTAGTATCCTGTCTCGTGAAATTGCGAGAACGGGATATAACATGCAGAATACTTATGAATTTATAGACGATATCGTAACATCTTGCTCTGGAGTGGGCCTGTTCTTCTTACGCAATCTTTTGATACTTCTCTGCCGTGAGGATAATAACCTTGTGGAGCTTCCAAGCGTTAGTTCTCTGTTTGCTGTTCAGTGAGATCAGTTCCTGAGGATGATGTGTTGTACAGGTCTCTAGCTCTATCTTTCCTGCTAACTTCCATTTTAGGTAGGTGGTGCCGTGCCATCCTAAGAGTTTGATTAGCCCTGAGGAAGATCATGACAAGTCCAACAACGAAAACATCCGTGACTTTCATGGGTGTAGCGTTGTTCCTTCATTCTTCAGTCGCGATCAAAAGCTTACGAAGTTGGTGGTTCTTGTTTGGGAGAAATGCTAACGGTCAAACACGGTTGAGGAAAAAAAAAATGTGGAAAGTGTCAAAGTTTCACGTTCGGAGAAGACTTTTCTAATTAAAGAGAGAAACTATGAGTTGAAGAGCTAGCTCATGTACTTCTATCTGAAGTTATACATTAATGATCGAGTGCTACCATGGTCCTCTCAATTTTGCTTGACCTTTTTGCGAACAAGACAGAAGTCATCATAACACTCTAAGTGTTACTTGCTCCAAGTATCATAAGTGAAGATCGCAAGTTCTGGCTTTCCACCTAATATTGAACAGCAGGAAGCTGAAAATGCACATGCTCAAACGAAAGGACTAGGTAAGAAGACCACCTTCCTTGACAAAGGGCGGTTGTAACCATTTCCTACAGTACCAGATTTTTAATGCGCTATAGAAGGATATGTAATCATTTCAAACTCCTCCTTGAATCTCTTCGAACAATGGAAGAGGGTGAATTTGGAGTCGCTGAACGAAGCGCATTGGTACGACGAGATGTTTCCTCCAAGCTTCTCCTATGTGAGTATTTGCGGAGAAGAGGGTTGTTTTCACGACGAAACTTCCTGTGCTCATCCCGAAGCTCTCGAGAGATGTCCCATAGCTCGTTCCACTCCTTAATTGCTGCTTCGTCCGCATCAAATGCCTCTGCATTGTTAAGTTCTTCCGAAGGATATATCCTGTTAACCAGGCGTTTGATACTGTATCTCCGGATGGGAAATTCTAGAATTCCGATTCCCTCACTACGCCATATCTTCAAATCTTGGTAGAGGTTTAAGAGCTGTATGAAGTTGGGAAAGTATGAGCCATTCCATACACTCCCAAACTTAAGAACTATTTCTGGCGGTACAAGGTATGTAAACTCGAATTGCTCTCGCTTACCAGAAATTACACGGCCAACATCAGTCTTGGAGTCAGTTTTGAGAACCATCTGAGCATCTGCGAGTGCATCTGCACCATGTGCAGCGTGGTTTCCGGGGCCTGTAATCTTTTCTCTAGGGGTAGAACCAGTTCTGGAAGCGACAGCGTTCTCTATCTCGCGAGCTCGAACCTTAAGCGCTATCTCGTAGAGCGGCTTCTTGAGCGACTCAATTTTCATCTGATGCAGACATGCGGCGTTGACGTAATCGTATCTTTTGGAATAACGAATTAGCTGGGCAGTCAAGAAACTGATGACATGATCATTGATCGTCTTTCCCGTGATATCCACTTGCACCTCCTTGACACTGGAGACGAGATCCACATCTGCAGATCATTAGTCGGAACGATACTATTGTCCGCTGAATGACCTACCTTAATAGACTTTATTTTTTCCACACACAAGCCCGCTAAGATGGGCAACTTTGATGTCCGCATAAAGTGGAAAGACATTGGGATCTACACTTGAAATCAACAAGTCTTTCTCTGCTATAGTCAATCCTTTCTTTCTTAGAGTAAGATTCATTCCCGCAATAAGTTCATCTCTCTGTTTGATGATTTGATATTGAGCTGATATGGTTTTCCTGAGATCAGCAAACTGATTGGAAATCCCCTCAAAAGTATCAGCCTGCTTAAAAGCCTTGAGCTCCTTGGCTTGATTCGAATAAGCTGACCATAGCTTCTTGTATCCTTCTTGCCAATTCAATTGAAGACCCGCCGCTTCGCAGGCGCCTTCATGCCAAGCTTCAAGATTTTGAATTGATAAGATTGTGCTGTCTCGTTCGTTGATGGTTTGTTTCCGTACTGATATAGTCTCCCAGAGCTTCTCAACTTTGCTGTTGGCAACTTTCAAAAGTTTGTCTTTCTCCTCGAACTGCTTCTCCAGATCAATTAAACGAGCCTAAAGAACAATAAGTCATACAAGGAAACACACATGGTAGAACCAAGAATTAAGTCATACCTTCAACGTAGAGAAAAGATGGTTTTCTCCCATCTTGTGAGATCGCCAACAAATTTCCAAATGCAAGACTGCGAGTTTTATTCTCTTGATTGTGAAGACTGGGTAAAATAACGTCAAGCAAATCTGCCAACAACTCCAAATTTATAGAGACCAAAGTGCGACTCGAATCGAGAAACCGTGCAAAAGCACAGTAGTGAAGAGCTTCGTTAATCTTTATACATCAATTGAATCAAAGATGCCCATAAACAAATTGACGTGCTGCGATTCGTGAAACCGACAAGAAAAGAAAGTAAAATTGAGAGACTATGCGATCAAGATCGAAGTCGCAGAAATCAATCCATGCCTTTGATGAACAAATCCAGAGATAGAGCTCTCGCGGTAACTATCGTCAATTTTTGACCATCCTGCTGATTTTGATGTGGTCGAAAGTTTGCGTGTATTGGGACAAAGTGGACAGAGGAGACGAGACGAGAGATTTTGGAATAAACGAAAATTCGCAGAGAAATCTTATGCCGGGTTGAGAAGTGAGGTGTATGGAGAGTGAATTGCTCGCCATGTCTGTTTGACATCTCGATGGCAGAGAATATGTCGAATTGATTTTGGGAGATTTCGTTTTGATACTGGCTGAGTGTTGACTTGGTTGAATTTAGGATGATTTGGAGGGATTCAAACCGCATGCTGGACAGAGGGAGAGATACTTTTATAGATGGGGGATGGTTATTTCGGGGAATCGCTTGCACACAGTAATGATCTGACAAAGCAATCAAGCGCCGTTAGTAGATCGCCAACAGGGCAAGCCAGAGCAATGTCTCCAGCTTTGTGATGGATTCTGGAGAACCATGTTTGTGTATTGAGTATTTTGACTCTTGTCTATGATCTAACTACACTGTTTTGTGACAGCTTGAGGCAAGCAAAATTGAAGTATTATACTTAACTCCATCCTTGTTTGATACAAATCTAATTCCACCCGCTGGGATCTGCCACTGCCCAAGGGCTAACGCAATTTTCTTCTGATACCTGCTGCTTTGATGTATCCGCCTTTATATTTTGTTGAGTTAGAGCATTTCTACTTACCCTGGTTCCAGTTCCTCTGCCTCCTCTGCCTCCTCTAGATACCCTACCTCCTTTAATCGTCCTCCCTCCTCTACCTCCCCTACCTCTAACCACCCTATTACAGTTTTCATGCGTTGGCATTTGATATGTAACGGGAAAAGTGACAGGACTAGCACTCCACATATCTTCATGTGAAATTTCTTTGGTAGTTACGGTCCCCGGTCCACAACCATCCTCTATCGGGCTCTAAACTTCATCAGAGGATGCTTTGACGCTGGATACCAACGGAAATCCATCCCAGCCAATTTGTACATGTTGGAGAGGAAGACCATAATTCTCACGGGGTGGAGTATCAATCTGATCCTTAAAATATTGACTCTGACTCATACCCAGCTCCGAGCTTTCTTCTATTTGACTATTATTCTTGATTGGAGACTCCGTTGAATGAATATCCTTGCTTGACAACTCTTCTCTACCAAGTCGGGTTTGATCGACTTCTAAGGAAATAGGTTGATCGAGTCGATATTTTATCTTGTTCATATTTTCCTCCTTCAAATACAAGCTTTCTAGTTCTTGAAGGATAGATTCCCACTTAGGTAACCACAGCCATTCACGCTTATGAGCTGTGAATGGATATATGCCATGTTTCCCACTCTCTGTGACGAAATCTGACTTGAGATAATCTCGATTAGTGCGCCATTGTTTGATGCGAGCGAACCAGTTAATCAATTTGATCAATGACTTAAGGCGATCATGGCTAGCCATTGAAATAATTTCGACTGGAGAATGGTGGTAAGTTTGTCTGTATAGCTCGTCATCATAAGGCATCTCGCACTTGTAATCAAACAGCTCAGGGACAAACATGACAGCGTGAAGTAAAGCGTCAGCATAATGTGCGACCTCGCCTCCCTTCTCAATGATAGTCATATCCCTTCCTTGCGGAGTTTTCAGCCATTCTAAATGACGATTTCGAATTGCAAAGCCGGCTTGGCGTGGAAGAGCGCGTAATGTAGCACAGAACTCTTTCTTTTTCAATATTTCCTGTATTCTCTTGCCATCCAATTCACGCCGCCTTGTCGCTTTGTCATGGGTCTGAGTGCTATCACTATTATGCGTTCTTTTGATATCAGAAAAGGCAAGGTTCAGATCGACAGTCGTCTTCAACATTTGCCGGATGTTACTCAGCCATGCAATAACCTCTCCATAGTCCGCCTCATCGAAAGAGACACCCATGCGCGACCAAACTTTGAAGAAGGTCGTGGAATCAAATGTTTGTGGACTGTGGCTCTTTGCTAAAGTATATTGGTTCACCAAATCTGCAAACTTGGGAAAAATTTGGAATCTTTGGGCAGTAGTCCATTTGATACCATATATTCGAGTGAATGTTTCGTCGTCGGTGCGATGTCCTGGTATGTGAGGATCAAGGTATAGACTCATGTCGGCAAGAACATCAAAATCGAGAGCCGATTTAGATCCATACGGAATAAGTGCCTGGGTAGGGGCAAAAGAACTTGGGTTACGCAACCGATGACTCTCGACGAAAGTCGTTCGCACCTCTAGCCCAACGGTGTCAAACTCTGTGCTTCTACAGCTTGATGCTTTTTCCACAGCCTCCTTCAAAACAGTTTCAAACTCTGTTCTCTGATGACCCAATGCTTTATCCACGGCCTCCTTCACAGCAGCAGCAACGTGTTCCTTGACTTTCAAATCTTCTTTCCAGTGATTAAACTCCCAATGCGAATTAAGTCTGTGTATCTTATATTCCAGGGCCTCTTTCTTGAGTGTTTGATCTTCTTTCAGCTTTTCAAGCTCGCTATGATAGTAATCACAATGGTCCTTTGCGAGTTGCCTGAGAGACTCCACTTCCTCCTTCAACTTCCCATTTTCGCTGACCAAACATTATTCCCATGTCCGTTGTCGCTGCTGACAATGTTTGGCTTGCTGAATTGTCTCCAGGCAATGATCCTGCGACAAAATTTCTCCAACAAGCGTATCGTGCGCACTCTTCGCCGTTTTCAACGATGCTGTTTCCTCCGCCAATCGAGTACCCGCTGTATTCATTTCCAACTTCATGCGATCGAAATGCTCCGCGCAACTGCGAATCTTCTCTTCTTTGGCTTCAACCTCTGCTCTCAAGCTAAGTAACTCGGTTTTTTTGTGGCTAGTTTCTCTTTGATTGCGGTCGTTGGATCTGGAAATTGGTAATTGTGGAGAGATGCTATGAAATCGCCTTGATCGTCCGAGCCATTGTCTTCAGACTCCATACTTGAAGCTTGATGATGAGTGAATGAATAGGAATCATCAATTACCCATCCGCCACCGTCATTGGGGCGTGACCATGACATGGTGCGCTGTGTTTTGAAAATCTTATATTGATTTGTGTTGTGAATCAAGAGGGTTGAAATCAAAACGAAATTGGGAAGCGGGAGATATCTCTTTTCGCCAGGCTACCGCTATTTCCAAATGTGAAAGTACGCTAAGCCCAATGGATTATCAAATTTCACTTACTGAAGCGAAGTGTGAAAATTAAGGATGTCGGCGATGGCTGTCATCTCGTAAACTCATGTGAAGAAATATAAACGACAGTAACAATTTTAACAATAGCAAAGAAATCGTTAACATCAATGGCTGAATGTTTATTTGATACCATTCTCGAATTCGAATTTGTGATATCAAAGGACCGCAATTACATGAGTGTGCTTGACAGTGAAAGTTGATCAAGATGACGGCTCTCGATCACATGATTTACCTGCGGAGCTCACTTAAATGGCAGATACACTTGTACCAAGCACTTGATTGCCCTCTGGTTTCGTTAACACTCTCCAGCGTTGTTTTCACTTGGGAATATGTATTCAAAACACGCACTCCTGTATCATTGCATATGTAGTTCACAATCATATTTTTCGCACTCGGTAATGATCTGTGTTTGACTTGAAGGAAAGTACTTCCATTCGTCATCGCACTCCTATACGCCCAGGTTCTACCTGAGAGGCACACTTCAAAGCACATAGAAGTCTCCAATTCCAAACAAATCATAAAGCACTCATCTATCTCTGGACTTAAATGTCATATCATTTATCTGAATCGTCCAATCTTCAGTGTCATCAAACTATATACAAATGAGAACTAAAACTCCTAGTCCATTGGGTATTTTCTGTTGCTTTCTAAAGGAAATTCGTATGCAAGCGTTATGCAGGTGTATCTGTTTGGTCCGTCTGATATAAGTTTCGTGCAGCCAAATTCGTTATCATAAATGTCGTAAAATCCGTCCATATCCATATTCCATCTCGTTCTCATTTCCATGTTTCAAATTGATGCTCCATCATGCGTCATGCCTTCAAGCCAGCGAACTCTCTCCAACTTTTCACACCCACATCTTCTCCCCTCATTTCCAAAAGCACAAACTGCGTAAGGAGCTTTCAACGCGTGGGGAATTCCAGTTCCAATTCCAACCTCGTCGCTGTGCAGTAAGCGCTGCACACTCGCCCACCAACCAACCCAGCATCAACCCAGTTCTCACACACACCAACATATCTTCCGTCTCCACATCCAATGTTCCCATTCCACACCATTCAAGATCAATCTCGAAATCCACGTCCAGCAAATCTTCCAAACCGGAACTAATCCAATCATTTTGCTCCACCCACCACACTATCCAGAGCATGAATTGACAAAGCATAATCAAAGCCAACATGGTCCACCTAATCAAGCTCTTCACGATACCTCCTTCCATCCTCATCTCCATCCCGCTTCCAAAAAACACACCCACTTTTCGCACATTCAGTATATAATATGACATCTTTAAAAATAATTTATGATACAGTATCTCTTCTGCCGAACGGCAATCTCGATACCCGAGTGGACTTTGCTACTTTCGCAACAATAGTTTCAAGTGGAACCTGAAGCTGTTCTCCACAATCACAAGCACAAGGAAGATAATCAGACTTACCATTGCCTGATCCCAATCCCACGCTTCGTCTAACCTTCATGTTTCTTCTTTTCTCATCGAGATAACATGCCTTGAGCTTCTTACGGGTAATGTTTCCGCAATATTCGCGCACGGCGTCGAGATCCATGTCCTCGAATGTTGTGTCGATGTTCTTGGTCCAGGTCTTGAAGAATTCGGTTTCCATGTAGTCTGATTTGCGCCAGGCCTTGACAGATGAATGCCAGCGGAGCATTTCAATAAATTCGGCGCAATCTTGAAGACGAAGGACGGTTTGCCAGCTTGCCCAGTACAGTTCCTTGAAAGTTTCCTCATCTGTACGTTTTTCGAACGCAATACCCGGGACATGAGAGAAGAGAGTGGCATCAGTGATAGGTCGTCCATTATAAACGCTTGAATTACCCAACTCGTAAATAGCGTTGCGTTCCTTGGCTTTGGGATCGTATGCAGAGTTTCTTTCGAGGAAACGGTTTCGGACACGTTGGCCGACAAAGAAAAGATGCTTCATCGATTTTCGCTGTTGGCTAAGTGCAGAGCGAACAGTTTCGGCGATATATTCTTGGATCTTGGGATTTTCTTTCCACTCCGAAATTTGGCCTTCGGGATTGACAAAGGTGGTTTCACTTTGAAGTTCTTCGTGTAGAGGTGCACCATAGTCGAAATCTGGGTGAGATGTGTTTTCAAGCTTGCGCTTCAATTCAGAGTTTTCGACTAGCAAGGCACCAACGTCGATTTTGCCCTTATGGTTCACGGCTTCTTCATAAAGTCTGACTTTCTCTGCCAATTTTTGATTCTCTTCGGACAATTGCTCGCATTCTAGTGTCTTCATACCGAGTGATGACTCCAGATTGAAGAATTTGATGTTGGTCTCTTCTTCCCGAATCTCAGTTGATAATTGTCCATTTCTCTTAATGAAGTATTGAACAATTTCGTTCTTCTCTAGTAACTTGGAGTTGACTTCCTTGAGTCCTGATTCGATTTTCTTTGCCAATGCAGCGAGAGCCACAGCTTCAGAATGCTCAGAAACCATATCTTCAGCGCATTTCTTGAGATCTAATTTCTTCACTGCGAGGCGGTCTTCTGGCGTTTCTACTGGAGTGCTCTCTTCCTCCTCGAAGACGATTCCAGTCTCATCATGAGTGTTTTCGTCATCTTCAAAGATAGCGCCGAGACGTTCACCAGGAGTCTCATCTGGGTAATTATCTTCATCCTCGAAGACCACTCCAGAGTCTTCCATGAGGTCATATTCGGGAGCTGATGAGGTGGGTTCGACCATGTTAAAATATCCAGATTCTGTCATGGTGAATTGATATACTGTACGAAAAAGAGTGTCGTGATATTTTTATTTAAAGATTGAAATATTTAATAATAAAATGAGAAAAATCTAGACAAGATCAAGAAAAAGACTCCCACAATTGGTTTGGTGTTGTGTGCGAGGTTGGATCCAATATGGAAGCTGTGACCGAAACTAGATATGTGGAAAAACCGGTGTAGAAAAAAAGAAAGAAAAAATTCAAGAAACAACTAAATGACTTGAAAAGTTGGAAGATAAATAAGTTATCTACGAAATGAATCGCAGAATGATGATGGATGGGGGTGGGTTGTGAAGAGAGAATAAACCAGCGGAAGCCAAAGTACATGTATAAAAATAATGCAGGTACGAACGGTACAGTCAGTCATAGAGTCATCACAAAAAAAACTTGGTCACCAAGCCGACCCGACAACAAAGCAGCAAACAATGTGAGGGTGTATTGGGCGATAAAGAAACACTTCACTTCTCTAGGTAAAGTTTCAAGGTTTCATGTACCTACTGTTGCGATGCCACGTGTTTCATCTCATTCGTGGTTAAAAACGAGGCGGTGGATACGATCGACCAGATTCTTTCGCAACCGCCGGGCCAACAGATTTTTCGACATACTCCGATGCATATCAAAGGTGGTAAGGGTGCTAACGGGTTCTTCTTAGGCCTCGAGCTGAATCGGACTATCGACGATTGGAGCCTCATTATTTTTCACATCCGCGATGTTTAGAACTTGGCGATTTATTGGAAAAGAGAAGCAGTAAGCTGGAAAGTTGGAGGGAAAGTTGGAAGGAAAGGGCTGGGAGGGGGCGGGTTATCCTACGAAGAACGAAGTCGATAAACTGGCTGGCTGGCTGGCTGGCTGGGCATCTGCTGGTGGTGGGGCCAAATGCTGTACGTTCCGTGCTTCACTCCTAAGGCCGCCAAATGATATTGAAGAATCGCGGTGTGATTCCCCACACACCTCATGCAGCAAAAAAAGTTCTTTGAATGAACCAAACGTAAGGAATGCAATTAGCAAGACTAAATCGAATAGGCGAACATTCTGGGTCGTTTATGCAGAGAATCAAGTGGAAGACGATGCAATATAACGGGTCAAAAGTGGTCAAAATCACGAAGTTTTAGTAGATCACAAATTTAGGAAGGAGAAGCGAAAGGCCATCCACACATGCAAGAATGGGTGACGAATCTGACGATATGTCCAGCTTGTACGTACTCGGGATACAATAGTAAAAAGATATTGGGACACCCCATTTTGCATTTGCATTTGAATTTGCATCTGCATTTATGCATTTTATGAAGAAGCAACTTGCTTCTGATTCCATTGTACACATTCATCGAATGTGACCCCGGAACCTCCGAAGACATCCAGAGCACTTCCGATTGTAAGATCAACCTTTCCACCACTAAGTCTCTTGACATTGTCAAGATCTTGAAGGTTTCTTCCTCCACCAGCATAAGTGACCGGGATACTACACCATTGTGCTAGCTTCTCGACGAGTTGTTCGTCGATACCTTTTTGCAACCCCTCATTGTCGGCTGCATGGATTAAGAACTCGGAGCAATATGGCTCTAAGGATTTGATAGATGCTAGAAGATATATGAGTTCTCAATGATGAAGAGAGGAAAGAAATGAAATACTCACCCTCATTCACCTCCATATCTGTAATGGTTTGCCATTTATTCATAGCCACAAACCAAGTATCATCTCTCTTTCGACAACTCAGATCAATGACAAGTTTTTCTTTATCACCACCAAGAGATTCCAATACGGAGTTTAGTCGTTCTTGGGAGAACTTCCCATTAGGAAAGAGGAAAGAAGTAACGATGACCTACTATTCCAATCAATATCGATCCTTCCACCTCTAGCAACACGATATAAACATACCCTCTCAGCACCCCATTCAATCCATTGCTTAGCATTTTCATCCGTAATACCACCTCCAACCTGAAGACCATTCTTCCACTCTCCCACGGCTTGTTTCGCGGCTTCCTCATTGCCAGGTCCAAGCATAATGACATGAGCACCTGTAAGATCATTGTCCTTGTACAGTTTTGCGAAATGACCAGCCGGTAATTGCGATACATAGTTGGTCTTCAAGTCAGATGAAGCAGTTGTTAATGTCCCGCCTACAATCTGCTTCACCTGACCTGAATGCAAGTCTATACAGGGACGAAATTTAGTCATTATGAGAAGTTTCTCGATGTGATATCTCGCTGTGTAAAACTATTGACCAACAAATTTCTATGTCGAATAATCCCAGGAGAAAGAAAAGAAAGAATCAACTAATTCCGAGATGTGTTGTTGACCTTCTGCCTGTGTAACTAAAATTGTGTTTCGTCTTCCACCAAAATCATATCGGCAGAATCCCGGCACATCACCATAATTTTTTCTTATCCAGAACATTTAATATTCTGGGGAAGCTACAAACATCGAATTTGCGAAAAATTACCAAATTTCATACAAACAATCTTCAATATGCCTGCCTCACTCGGAAAACGAAAGCGCTCATCTGCGACTGATCCTACAAGTTCAAAACTTTCAAAAGTACCTAAAACCACCCCAATTACACCCGAACCAGTATCCGAATCCCAATCAGAAGAAGAAGCTTCAGATAGCTCTTCAGAAGGCGACGCAGAGCAGGAGGAAGATGATACTGAGGTTCTCGATCCTCAAGAAATATTCCGCCGTCATTTCGAAGCACAGTTCAAACCACTTCCTCCTACAACCAAAAAACCTAAAATCAATCCAATAATCGAGAATCCCGATAATGAAGATGAAGATTGGGATGGCTTATCAGACAATTCCGGCGAAGACGACAAGCAGGAAGAAAACGGCGTACAAGTAGTTGAACACGTGAAGAAAATTGATTCTAGGATCGCGGGGATGAGTAAAGGAGAATTGAGGGCTTTCATGGTATTTACAACCATTATCTTCCCTCTAATATGTTTCGTCCATCTCCCAGAATCTAACACATTCTATCTAGTCCTCCAAAATCCCCAAATCACGCCCTTCACCCTCCCTCTCTAAACTTGCCGAACTACCAGCCGGCTCCGCAGACGACCCAGGCGCAACCGAAGCACTCAATCTCAAAAACGATCTCGCGCTCCAACGACTCCTCGATGAATCGCATCTCTTGACATCCTCCTCCTCTTCCTCAGCTGCCAATTCCCATGCCGTCCATACTTTACAAGGGAAGAATCGATTGAAAGCCCTAGATATGCGTGTCCAAGCACTGGGCGGGAAAACTAGTATACATACACAAGAAAGTATGCCGATGAATATGCGAAAGGGGATAATAAGGAAGGCGGAGGAGAAGGAGGAGAAGCGAAGGAGAGAGGCGAAGGAGAATGGGATTGTGCTTGAGACTAAAGGAAGAGGAGGGGGAATTAGCGGGGGGAGGGAAAGAAGGAAGGAGAGGAGTGGGGCAGGAGGGACTTTTGATTCTGGTCCTGGGGTTGGGAGGATGAGGGGTGCGACGTTGAGTTTAAGTGAAAGGGATGTGGTGGGAATTGAGGGGAGTAAGAGGGGTGGAGGTAGGATGGGTAGGAATGGAAAGAGGGGGGGAAGGGGAAGGGGGAGGGGGAATAGGAGTTAGTAGGTTGGCTGTTTGAAACCAAGAGGCTACTATGGAAAAAGTAAAGGGATGCTGCATGAATACATGTTCTACAAAGCAAATAAAGAATTGATACCCAAGCAAACTACATCAAATATCACATCCGAGATCACAAATACAGATATCACGAGCACTTCGGATGCACTCATCCAGATACCAAAGCAAACAAGGTATCAGTCAATTCCATACTGTACAAATTTCCGTCCTCATCAAACCCGACGCTCCAGAATTCACCGATATTGATTCACAAAGGTAAAAGTAAGTGCCCTACAACCCATCCTTTCAGGTGATTTGCAGATGCAGTTGCGTTCATTTAATCAAACAGTTCAGTTCAGCCAAATAACGCGCCCAAGCCCTACCCCTCATGAACTCCGTCCTTCAGTTTCTTCAAATGCCAAGGAAACCTAGGAAATGTATGTTTGTATAATTTCTCCTGCCAATAGCTAGAAAATGTTGAGTTTTGCAAAACTCTTCTTTACTGCTTATTTGCATATTGGAAATGTCCGAACGCACCTCCACCATTACTTGGTGTTAGCGGACCTAAACCATTTCCTCCATTATTATTATGCGCAGGTGTAGTTGCTAAATTTACACTTCCATTGTTCGGAGTACTGGGTGCGCCATTCGCAAACGACGATCCTGAACCATTTTGATTCGGAGTGGTATTTTCTTGGTATTGATTGTAATGCTGCGGGGTGGTTTGTTGGGTAGCAGCTGTATTAGCTTCTTGGAGATTGATACCGAAGACACGACCTAAATGCTCATCTCCAATCTCGCCGTCAAAAAGACGTTCGCGGAGTTTGAAAAAGACTCGACCGTTGACGAGGGAATCAGAACCAGCTTGGTGCACAGCACCTACTCGTTTAACTTTGAGGACGTCGATCATAGTCTCAATGTTGGGATGTCGCTCGGTGCGTTGAAGGAGTTCTGCGGTGACGGCGTCGACATGAGAAAGCTGACCTAATTTGTTCATAATTGTTCCTTGTTGCATGAGATATTTGATATCATATACACTTGGAAAGAACTTTTTCATGAGCATATCGAATTCTCTTTCGTCATCCGGTAAGGGTCTTTGAAGCAGAATCTTTGTGAGGTATCCAAAATCGTAGCCAGCATGCCCTGAGATCCAACGTTTCTCCTCATCACATACAAGCCCGGAACTAATCAATACCGCACCAAACTCGAATGGATCGATGCCTTCTTCCTTTAATCTGTTGAAATCCGTGCCGGCAATCTTCCTTTCGTCAATGCCCTTTTCTGCATACATATCATCCGACAGAGAGAATTTAAAGTTGAACTGCCATGTGCAAGGTATCTGTCCCATGCCGTTACCAATTCTTCGTCCTGCTGAGTTCCGATCTAGTCCCGAGTCCGAGGGAGGAGTCGCAGGCAATGATTCTCCATCCTCCGAATATAAAGTTATGCCCAGTTGTATAAGTTTCAGTAAGTCTACGTTGCATCGTAAGCATTGATAGTGATAATCTCCCTTGCCATTAAATGATCCCATAGGTCGAGCAACGATTCCAGGGAATTTTGCGTCCTAGCAATGTTAACTCCGGCGTCAACGATCACCGATGGAGTATCTTACCATAGAAATATAAGGGTATTTGTCCACTAACTGCCGCAGAATTGCCATCTCCTCATGTAGATTCCCCTTCCAAACATCTCGTATTCTACCCTTATCACGTATACCCCGCGTCCCTGAATCTGCCATTCCGTTGTGCCCTTGTTGTTGCAACGGTGCTGCAGCGAAGCTCATTTGTGCAGCTTGACTTGCTAATCCACCGCCTTGCAATGGAATACCAGGTGCAGAAAACCCTCCTGGTATACCCATACTAGCTCCATTTGCGAATGCATTGCTCATGGAGTTCGCACTCATAAATTGATTTCCGATCGAGCCAGGCGGAGGAAGTCCTGCGGTATGTGGTTGTGTATGAGGCGGATATTGTTGATAATGAGACGCCATATTATTTGGGGCAGCCCCGTAGGCTTGCATTCGTGGAGGCATTTTGTTTTCGTCGAGTATGTATGTTGGGTGTAGAGGGTGGGTTGATAGCTTTCATGGACGCAAATTGCGCGAGGAGAGGAAGGGTTTCTTTTTCGCGGTCGAAAGCAACAACAGTTTTGGACAAGAAAATAAGATAATTATCACTCTGTAAATTATTATTTGCTTTAAAATTCAAAAAGTATCAACACCAAGTCTTGTGTTTCTTAAAGTTCAAGCTGGCTGCTTTGATTAAGCATGAACAATTACTGTAGCTAAGGATGGCGCTTAATGTTAGACGCCCTAATGGTATCCGAACTATACCCGAGCTAGACCTCCATATTCAATACATTGTTCACCACTGGACAATAAATCATTAGGTGAAAGTTGTAATTCTCACAATGCAGTGCACAAGGTACGTATTTGACTGAAGATGGATAATTTCAATTTTTATCTTTCAATCGCTGACTTTCTTGAATAGAATTCTTAGAGCTGCACAACGTGCAAATCTTACTGGGTTCGACCCAAAAGCATTAGCTGCCGCTTCTGGTAAAAATGCAGGTGACCCATGGGCACGACGGTGAGCTCGGAAACGCATATCCCCAAATTTCGGACTCGCCATACTGATAGGTTTTATTAGTGAAGCTTGGAGATATCAAGGACAATACTCAAGGCGGAATCGATTTTCGAACACCTTCCCTGGATTAGGCATTGCGACGGTAGCTTTTGCAGCATATTGCGGATACGAATACTTCTTTTTGGCGGACGAACATCATGGGCACGCAGAGGGTCATGGCGATGGACATCACTGAAGAATGAATTGATGGGAAGTCGTTGTACATATGGGCTAAATATCATCATTGGGACTGATCCCCTCATTCTCAACAAGCACTGCGCACGCTCCATGTATGGATATGATATGAATTCTCTATTTCTCTGTGAGGATGCAAAACATTGACAACTCACTTTCCATACAACGGGCAATTTATTGGTAAGTAGCGACGAGAACAAACGCTCTATACTTTCAAAATACATTGTGCAAGTGTGCAATGATCAATTCATTGATGTTATGCTTGTCCACGGCTCAATCAATGCCAGATTTCGGATCCTATCGGTTTAAATTGGAGAAATATGGTGATTTTGCTATATTCAATAGGAAAGTATGGAGTTAATTCGCAAAATGATATTGGGAATTGCTAAACACGTTCGTTGAGTATATGTTGAAATCCCAAGAAGATATCTACCATGAGAAGCCGAAGTCAGAATTTAAGGATTCAGTTGGGATGATACAAAGATTTTCCGGGACGGCTGGAGGGTGGATCGAGACTGGATCGAGACTGGATCGAGACTGGATCGAAAGCGTTGATTGAATAACAAACGATTAAGTACATCTGAGGTTTGTAGCAAGATCCATGAAAGAGCATGCTGCATGGATACCGAATATACCCATTTACCACCCCCAGAAAGTTCGAGAGAATGAACGTGCAAAGGGAACCAACTCGATCTCTTTGGCTTGAAGCAATCCCCCATCTTTGATCCATCGTCTTTCACAATCACCATGTAGGAACGGAAAGTAAAGATGCCAGAAATTCCCACACGATATACAAAATGACTTGCATACCAACGATACCATCCCTTTGAAACTTGGCAAACCAATTAGTTGAATGTTTGAGTTTGGGGTGCGATTCTTTCCATACATAACATCACCATCTCCCAGGCTAAGAGATTTTGTATATATACAGAATTTCGACAAATCTGCTTGGAGAGTCCTCTTCGGTACGCTGTCAGTGATAAATTGAGGGTAGATTCTGAGACTTTCTCCTCGGTAAGCTCTGCCGTAGTTTCCACAATGAGGATCAGAATGTTAATAGTATCTGTTTTAATACCGACATCAATCTACCACATTTCCCGGCCCCAGCTACCCCATGCTTTCCTCGGGGATATGTGATCCAGCCTTATCCATCCGAGGTCTACCCATTTTCACAGGTCCGCGCCGTGCCTGTACTAATTAATCCACCGCTGAAAGCCCACCAGTGGGTGCACGGACTCACGGGACACGCGTTTTTTGAAAATAGCCTCAAAATAAACAATTCAAAATATACATAATCAATTCAACTTCAAAATGCCATTCAATATATAATCAATTAAATATAAGGCTACTTCTATTAATAAAGAATTATATAGAGAATATGATTTATTAAAAAAATCGCACTTTTTTGGTGAATTCGATTGATATTATGCGAAAAAAAGTGTATGCTTTATTTTCACCTGGTTAGATATATCAAGCTCTATAAGTTATTAATAGCTTCAAGAAAGAGATATATTAGGAAAGCAAGCTTATAAGCAGATTCATAAGCTTTCAAAAAATCTAGGGGGACTTATATCAATCGATAAAACTATTTGCAAAATGTTTGTTTTGCTTTCCTGAAATAAGCTACGAATTGCATTTTACAAAATGATAATTGAATATTTCAAATTAAAGGTTAAACGATATTCTTTATAAAAAAATTTAAAAAGATTTATAAATCAAGGTTAGTATTACAAAACTGTTTATTCAGAAAAGTGTATTAATAATTGATAGTGTAGGAAATATATTATATTCAATAGTATATATAAATATAACATTGTAAAAGGATTTTGGAAATATATTGTATATACAAACGAAATATATATGAATTCTATTTTTATAAGAAAAGGAGAGATTCTAAAAGAAGCTAGAATTTGATATAAAATAGAAAATATAGTGGAATATCTTTTATTAGAGGGTAATAAAATCCATTATGGAGTATAAATCACTTTCGAAAAGAAAGCTGAAAATCTTGAATTCTATTATAATGAGGAGGAATATACAGATAAATTTAAACCTGAATCTAAATTTAGAATATGTTTTAAGACTGAAAGTTGTGATTTCTATAAGGAGCGTGTTTGTATATAGAAAGCTAAAAAGCCGTATCCCAAGAATGTCAAGTCTTAGAGCAATATTATAACCTAGGAATACTATATTAAATGATTACTTCCAGTTTATATAAAAACAATTGAAAGGTTATAGGCAAAAGATTCTATATATAAATAGCTTTTAATAGAGGATAGTAATAGTTCCTATAGTTTTGTTAAATATAATTTTGTATAAGAACTTAGAAATACACATAATATCGAAAATCTATTTCACCCCTCTAATTCACTCGATCTGAATCTAATAAAGGGTATTTGGAATATATTAAAGCAATAAGTTTGGAAAAGATAATAGAAAATGTTGAATGAGTTAAAGGAGATTATACAGAACGAATAGAGCAAGATTATGCAGAAGGAAATTCAAAAAAGATATAGAATTACCCGGTAGATGTAGGACTATAATTGATACAAATGGGAGCTATGTATAATCAAAATTGTAATAGTTATTAGCTATTTAGTCGTAATATTATCTCATTTTGGGTTTTTTGAAGCTATACAGACTGTCCCGTGAGTCCGTGCACCCACTGGTGGCCAAAGCATTCTGATATGTCAGCCCGTGCATGACTCGAGGTTAGAATACCCGATATGCATATGGAATAGTCTCGCCAAAATCTGTCCAAATTCGAATGTTTCATCGTGATGCACAAAGTTTATTTGGGTAGAATTGATGAATCTGCTTGATTAAGGTTACGCCTACTATATTTACCAAGTAGATACTGCCAATAAGCTGACGTGACCGCACAATGCTTTTTTTCACACAAGATAGAAGAGCTTTGGGCTCGTTATATACCCTCGTATTCTCGTACTTATATACCACATACCATATACCATACCTAGGTAGGTAGGTAGGTAGGCAGGTAGATGATTAGTAACCTTATCAACTTTTCATCCATACAATAAATGACGTCGATCCAGTTGGCCACAATAATCAGGATCTCAGCCTCGTCCAAGGGTAAAGCAAGCCACAAAAGACTGGACTATTCTACGAAGTAATGCCATAGGTAAACCCAATTTCTAAGGTTTAAGCTTGTTTGATCAAAACCTGAATGTTTTTTTTTCCTAATTTGATTCTCTCAATTGATGTTAATTCGTTTTTGCACCAGCAAGAAATTCTTCTTCCCCTATCTCGTTGGTTATAATACCAATATTGAAGTAAGATTTGTTTGTTTCCTCAGGAATGACAAAGTCTTTTGATATTCTTCGACACTAATACCTATCCGTCACCACATGGAATCCATGAATGTTTGTTCCAATGGCAATTTCCTTGGAACTATTGAGGAAACCTCAATATTGACACAGAAAACGAAAGACATATATGCTTCGCAGCGTGCACTTGAACTGAGAAAGTAAGTCTGGTCTTTTTTAATTGGCTTAAAGCCATTACCATTTCATGGGTGTCTCTTGCTCTCTCTCTGCTTTGGTGCCAATCTTAGCTTGATTTGGCCGTGTCTCACGTGCATCATGAAAGGGAATACTCGTGATTTCTTGACTAACTGCTCCATTCCTGTCTTTTAGATTTTATGATCCTTATCAAGCTGATATAAATCCTCAATCTTCTAAGGATACTCTAAATGGTCGACTCAATTCTGATGGAGCCCTCGACAATTATGCCGAGGTTGCTATATGGCGTTTAGGGGGCGTTCATTCTATGATTAGGTATGAGGAACTCCAACTCATTGACAAACCGATAAAGCTAATACACACTAGTATCATTGATGGCTCTACTCAATACTTCATTGCAGGAGCACGGCGCGATAAATCTCTACCCGAGGAGGATATCGTCAATGATTCGTGGTTTGGTTGTTTTCAAGTGCCAACGCCAGGTGGTCTTTGTGAAGTCAGGACAAACCAACCACGATCCTGAACATATACTAACCGAGAATTTCAGAATACCTTGGCAATCAATGATGACGAAAATGATCCTTACCCTTGTTTTATTGTCGATGATTTGAAGAGAGACCCAAGATTTGCCAATTTATCCATAGTTGATGGTTCTTTGGCTTCATACGTTTGGTATGCTGGGGCTCCAATTACTACCAAAAATGGTATCAACATTGGTGTTTTATGTGTCTTCGGTGATCGCCCTGCCACCGGGTTTAATTTAGAGAGAAGAAGATGTAGGTTTGAGCGACAGTTTACCTCACTGAGATCTATGTTGATACTAACGCGACATCCAGTTTTATATCATCAAGCGAACAATATCATGAAGTACATGGAAACGCAACGAGAGGCTATCGAAAGACATCGAGTTGCGCTCATGTCGAAAGGAATTGCTACCTTCATAGAAAGAACTTCTCGTTACACTAACATTGTCTCTGACAGCCCATACTCTTCAACTCTAGCAGTTTCAAATACGACCAATGCATCCGGTACTCAATTCGACGATGATACCAGAACAGACCTTTCTCAGGATGGACATTCTAACACATCAAATCAACCACACCAGTCTTCCGAATCTGTACTTGATCAAATAAGAATCACTTTGGATCACGCGGCCGAAATTCTTCGGGAATCCCTTGAACTTAACGTTGGAGGTGTTGTCTTCTTGGACACGACTAATGGTCATACTGAAGTGGGGAATATGGATGCTTATATGGATACAAGCACTGATATCGGTACAGAGGTGAAAGAGGCTGAATTGAGGAGGTCGCTCGTACAAAATGAAGAAAGACCAAAGTATGAAGAGTACCGAAGAAAATTGTCTCAAGGCACCATACGAACTTCCACGGATAGACATAAAGTGGCAAAGGTCCTTTCTATGTCAGCGGCAAAAGTTGCAACCTGGGACTCAGAAGCTCATGTTCTGGATGGCAAAACCCTTCGGTCGCTAATGAATTCTTATCCTAAGGGGAATGTCTGGTATGGCCTGGACTTCGTTCGATTTCGATAGGATCATCTGACTGACTTTGATAAAGGTATATTGACGACAATGGCTATTTCTCGAGTCTGGAACAAGTCAACGATCGGAAACGCGCGCCCTCGACCGATACTAGTCCTGCTGAAAGGCCTAGAACATCTGGCTCTTTTGATGCTATGAAGCAAGAAGCGGAAGCAACTATGCTTGGCAAGGTATTCCATAAAGCAAGGCAAATCATATTCCTTCCTCTTTGGGATTCTGCTGGCGGTATGTCATGCTTCTACCACGGCGTAAAAGCCCCCTTCTATTCTCGGCTAATCAATTCACTGCAGAGAGATGGTACTCGGGCCTGTTTGTATGGAGTCAATCAGCAGTCCCTGTTTTTACCGTAAATAATGAGATATCTTACTTATCTGCATTTACAAACTCGGTCATGATGGAGATTAGTCGATTAGATGCCCTGATTTCTAACAAGATGAAATCTGATTTTATTAGTAGCATTTCTCGTAAGTATTGGCAATTCTGAGTATTCACTTAAAAGCGCTAATGATGAGCAAAGATGAATTTAGAAGTCCATTACATGGCATTTTGGCTTCAGCAGACTTCTTACGGGAATCGAACCTTGACATTTCACAAACAGAATTTGTCTCGACAATCCAGAATTGCAGTGGTACTCTCCTGGTACGTGCAACTAATATCATAACATGTTATCAGGGTTTCCAATAGTTCGGATTACGGTCCAACGACCAGAAGCTATCAACTTCTGAAACTAGCTAAACGATTCAAGTGGTCTGAAATACTGTATTCATTTCGGATATGTCACCCCTGCTCAGCACTGAGATATAACATCCCGTTTGCGAGTCCGGGCTATTGGATATACCTTTTGCAATCGATTTACTTGCCTCTCGAATTGTTGCCCCTACAAGCTTACACTGACACCATATCATAGGATACAATCAATCACGTTCTTGACTACAGCAAAATCAATTCTTTCGAGAAAAGAGAAGGCTCTTTACAAGGTAGGTCTTGTGTTGTTTGCTGGGCTAGATCGTTCTCGAATTAACAATGTACTAGGGTCTTTCTCGAGCGAGCTTCATCAAGTAACCAACGTAGCTTTGCTATGCGAGGATACCATCAATGGTATGATTGCTGCTAACCACTTTAGAAGTGCTGCTCCCATGTATAATTTAGCACTTTCAAATGGTTCACCAAAAAAGAAAACTGGTCTCTCCCCAGACGTAACGGCACAACCATTGCAAATTGTTCTAGATTTTGAAATGCGGGATTGGACTTATAAAGTTCACGCTGGTATGTATTGGAAATCTGGCAAGAGTGGCAAACTGCTGATATTCTCGACAGGTGCAATTCAACGTATTTTGATGAACATATTTGGCAATTCGCAAAAATATACAGATCATGGCTATATTCAAGTACAGTTGCAACTGCGACAACAAAAAACGGCCATCGACGTGCCACCTTCAAATTCTCATCCCGCCGGGGACTTCATGTGTCTGCGTATTACAGATTCTGGCAAAGGAATGTCAACTGAATACATGGAACGCAAACTTTACCATCCATTTGCCCAAGAAAATAGCTTTACACCTGGTGTTGGCTTGGGTCTTTCTATTGTGTGAGTTCTTCCATGTGCTTCACACGAATGAGCTAATGAAGAATCTAGCTGGAGCATTGTGAAACAATTAGGTGGAACTATACTCATCCGCAGTGAGGTAGGCATCGGGACCGATGTTGAGGTTCTCATCCCTGTGGAAAAATCAGAGCCTCCTTCACACGATGAAGTCATGAGCGGTGATACTGTCGATACAACCGATGTCAGAATTGCTGCGGAAAAAGCAATGAGATCGCTCCGTGATAGAGCAGCAGGAAGAGTAATTTCTTTTGATCGTGGCCAACTCACATCCCCTCAAACTAATGCATGGGATTGTATTCAGAGATACTGCTCCGAGTGGTATGGTTTTGATGTCCGAAAGTCTGATGGAAATTCACAGAGTGAAGACCTACTTCTCATCAATGAGACATTTAAATTTCCAGAATGTTCTCCTTGTCAGAGGATATTAGTAATCCATGCCGCAATGAGCTATCCAACTATCAATAGGCCAGATGATCAGCATTTTATTGCCAATATTTCTCAACCAATAGGACCCTACAGACTTGCCCGATCAATTCTTGCTCTGTTGGATCAAACTGTTTGCGAATTACGCAATAAGCACGCTACTACACAAACTCCTCTTGGATCACCCGAGGAATTACACCGCAATGAAACAAAGGAATATAGCTTTTTACCAGTGCAAGAGCCGGAGCCCAACACAAAAAATGATATTATACTTACTCTAGCAAAGCAAAAGGTCCGCGAAGAATTTGCTGAATCTCTTCAAAACTTAGAACAGCTTCAACTCCAAGCACCTCTTGCTACTCCCCTGGAACCAATACCCAGACCGCAAATTCCTGAACGCAAATCTTCGAAATATCCTTCACCTCCGCCACCTCCGCCTCCTCAAGTCACTCAAGTCACACAAGTCAACCCAGAAAAAACACCCCTCCATATTCTCGCCGTTGATGATAACGCACTTAATCTCCAATTGATACATCGTTATCTCCAAAAACGTAAAATAGATACAATAGTGACTGCAACTGATGGTTTAGAAGCAGTGGCAGCCGTAAAGGCGTCAAAAAATGGATTTGATGTAATTTTCATGGATATTTCGATGCCAAAAATGGATGGATTCGAAGCTACACGACTTATCAGAAATTGGGAGAGCGAGTTATGTGTAGGGTTGGATGGTCTAATCGCTTGGGGGCACGGCAGAGAGAAAGAGGGGGAAATGGAGATTGAAGAAAAGACCCATGATCAACTACCCAGGGGCAAGGCTTATGTAGTTGCTATGACAGGCTTGGGGAGTCAAAAAGCAAGGGACGAGGCCGATAGAAGTGGATTTGATGATTTTATGACTAAACCGGTTAAATTGCCAAAAGTTGGAGAGTTGTTGAAGAGATTGAGTTGTGAGAAGGCTGCTAGGTTGGAAGTTAGTAAGCGTTATACAGGTTGGAACTTTTAAATGGAACTAGGTGGGCGATTGGACAGGCACAACCGGCTGGACGAGAGGGAAAGAGATAAGGTACGGAGTTAATATGAAATGCAATATACGGATAATTGGGTCGGTATGGGAAGGGAAATGGAATGAATTGTATAATAATCGATGATACCTAATAGCGAAAAGAAACGAGAATATGAATAGCTTTCTTACGATTCGGTCATTGATTTCATGTTAAATTCATCCATTTAGCGATATCGCTAAATGGTTAGGGGAGCAAATATAATAAAGACTTTCTTCCTCATGGCATATAATCGATCAGATCGCGTAATGTTGCCAGATTAATGGTATGGAGAATCTCAAATTATCCACTTTTCCTCTGTATACCTATGTATGTCCAGACATGGCAGAGCTTTCAGTTCGGGGTGTACAAATACTTTTGTTGCATCATATCTCCAATTGTCATCCCTTCAATCACAAATTTCTCAGTCGCCTATAGCCTCACATATAAATCTAGGGGTTCGATATATAGCGGGGTTTTTGGTAAAAATAGGTTGCGAAACCGTCTGAAATGCTAAATTAGCATTTTACAATTCACCATGCTATATGATGCTCTTTTCACCCCTAGATGATGAAGAAACCAAAGAGGCCAATTTTTGATACCATGGTTTCGTCACTCGTTCTTGTCTAATTGTCTCATCTCAGCAAACCTCAAACACCATCCAATAAACTCATCACGTGTATGCCAAGCCTCTGCCCCACCACTATCAAACCCCGCCATGCCTCAAGCTCTGGTGCTCTCTCCCGTTGTTTACACAGTAAATTCTGTATATAAAACTCGGGTCTCAGATCCTTCATATTTTTCTGATCGCAGAATTATATTACTTGAAAATGGAATTTGATACTAAGACTCGTAAGTTCGTTTTTTATCATGTGTGATTGAGGGGAGAGGAGAGAGGAGGAGGGGAGGGAAAGATCTTGTGAAAGAGGGACGAGGAAAGACTAACGTTTAGTGAGCAATTAGCTCTCTATTCTACTCAGGATAAAACATCTTTCGCATATATTTCTGCGAGAGATCGTTGGCCCGTTATTCTTGTAAGTGGCACTGTTTTTTCTCTTGGAGATCGTCTATTTCATGAAGGATGTTGGGAATCGATATGGAAAACCCCTCAATTCCTTTGCTCACTGCGCTTGAGGCTTTTTTAATCGCCTAGTCTGCCTCCATGGCAGTGGCCCCCGGAAGGCTAGCGGAGCATCATTCACTCATAACAAGATCTTTGCTAATACTGACTCTGATAGACTGGAGCAATTGATGATGTTCACAGAGCAGTATCCGAATCGACGGGTAGCAAACATGAGGAAGGAAAACGCATAGTCGAGACTCTCGCAAAGCTAAAATATGAGCTTCAACACGACAGGAAGTTAACGTATGAGATGTTGTCTTCATATGAGATGAGAAGCTAATCTGAGATGCAGCCCTCTTCTTGATGATGGACAGCCGGATATTGAGGGTTATAATAAGGAATTGGAAAAATTGGGTTACCCATCATGGTTCAATGTTCCATGGTTATATGCAGAATGTTATCTCTACAGGTATGGCTTTGCTCTCTCGTCTTCACTGCTTTCGAATTATAACTAATAGCTAGTTTGCAGACGCATAGCAACCTCTTTCTCCTTGTCCAAAGAATGGAAATCCCACGATGTGTTTGCGCGCCAAAAGATGTCGACCTTCCGTTCTTCCCGTCCTGCTGTTCTCGAGCTCGCAAGTCGCTACCACGAACTCATAAACCAAATGTCAAATGATAAAACCCAAGATGAGGAGACTGAAAAGATACTTTTCATGGAAATGTGCGAGATTTGCTTATGGGGCAATGCAACTGATCTTTCTCTTCTCACATCTCTTACCTACGAAGATATTCAAAAATTACAAGGATCTGAAGCACGAAAGAATTCTGAGAAGAACATTCTTATCAATGATTTGGGCAAAGCATACGATGTTCTTAAGGCTGCTAAAAAGGAAGGAAGAAGTCGTCAAGTCGACATTGTTCTCGATAATGCCGGATTTGAACTTTATGTCGATCTAATTCTTGCTGGATTTCTTCTCAGCGCAGGTCTTGCTACAAATATCGTTTTGCATTCTAAAGCCATCCCATGGTTCGTATCAGATGTTGTACCAAAGGATTTCTCCGATTTATTAAATGCATTAAATAATGCTCAATCTTTCTATTCCACGCCTTCCGAAGACGAGCAAAGAGATGGAAAAACACCAGAACCACTTTCCAAAAAGGAAGAGGAGGAATTGGATTTCTTGTTCAAGACTTGGAGCGAATTCCATGCTGAAGGTCAATTAACTTTAAGAGCTAATCGATTCTGGACTGAAGGAGGTAGTTATTGGAGATTACCAGGCACGGCACCTAGACTATATGAAGATCTCAAGGAAAGTGATTTGGTTATTTTCAAGGGAGATTTGAATTATAGAAAGTTGACGGGAGATGCTACTTGGGATCCTACAACCCCATTTACAAAAGCCATTGGACCATTAGGTCCAGGGTCCGGTGTTAATGTATTGGCATTGAGGACTTGTAAGGCTGATGTGGTGGTTGGTTTGGAACCGGGACTGGATGAAAAGTTGAGGGCCATGGAGGGAGGAGGTGGAGATTCTGGACAGAGAAAATGGGGATGGAGTGGGAAGTGGGCTGTGGTTAGTTTTTCGGGAGGGAAATAAATAGATGATTTGTAGAAGGTGGAGGTTACCAGATGGGTTGATGGATGGATGAGAAAGATAGATTATTCGTACTTGGAGAGTATAGATTAAGAGAGATGGGTTTATGGTCTCTGGGCCTCTCGCTACTACATGGTAGAGATATCTCGAAGAATGAGAGATGCAGATTCAATTACGAAAATACATTGTTTCTCAACATTTTGTAGATATAGAGTATCTAATTATACATTGTGAAACGCGAAACGTGAAAATAATTTATTAATTTGGAATACATCGAGTTTCAACTCAACTACTCAGACAAATCACTACTACTGTACTTCAATATTACTTACTCCATTTCTTCTTTCTGCTCTCGTTGTGTCGTCACGTCGTATTCTCTACCTAGGTGCAGAGCCGTTACTCGGATATACTAGAGTATGGAAATGGTAAAGCAATCGAGAATGTACAGTCTATTAATTTAAAGTTCTTGCGGAAAAGGCATGCGTACATTCTTTGAGATGTGATTGTAGTTAGTAGTAGTAGTAGGTAGTAATAGTAGTAATAATGATGATAGTTATGAGAATATATAAATTAATAATAATAAAATTAAAATAGATAGTAACGTGGTTTATCATCGAGTGGGTTATATCATTGAATAGGCCACTTTTCCCTTAATTCATATTTTTAATTTCTATATGCGATTTATTATGAAATTATTATGAAATTAATTAATCAAAAAACCTAAATCTTTTTTATTATTAAAACTATTCATAAAAATAACAAACTAAGTATTCGAAAAGTTTTTAAGTTTTATAATATTCCTTATATAATTTTTTAATATAAAATGAATAATTTGTTACTTTATATAGAAATTCGGGTGAATTGTTATAATATTATAGAATTAGAAAAGAAAGTGATTATTTAATATATTCTTAATATAAATTCGAAAGATTTTTTATTTAAATTAAGAAATATAAAAAATATAATAAATTATATTCTCAAATCAAGAAATACAAAGTATATTAGAAAGTTTTGAGTATATCAATTTGTAAAATATCAAATCAAATTAAAAATATATTTTAATTATATTTATAATTTTCAAAAAGCTTTTTATAAAGATTCTAAATTTATTAAAAAGTGATTTTAATTGGTTGTGAATATATGAGTGAAATATAATATTTTGAATAATAATTTCTATAATTTTAATGAAATAGACTTTATAATAAATATAATATACTCCAAAATAATTATAATTAATATTAAACAAAATAGTAGAAACAAGATAATATAATCAGATAATAAAGAATGAACTATAATAATTATATATAATAATAAGGAGAATGAAATTATACCCCTATTTCTAATAGTTTAAAAACAAATTTATTTTTTTAATTAATATATTGAAATCGATTTTCCTATAGATTGGGCTATTAAATCTATATCTAATGAATAGATAAATAATAAGATAGATTTAGAATAATTGAAATATTTTGATAAATATATTAAGAACTAAAAAAAGAGTAGATATCGAATATTAATACTAGATAAATATAAAAGCTATAAATTAAGAGCTTTTCAAGTATATTATAAAAAAAACAATATTATATACTTAAATCTATTATTATATTTAAGTTATTTAATTCAATTATTTAATATAAATTGTTTTAGTAATCTGAAATATTTATATAATAATCAAATTAATAGATTTATTAAGATATATATTAATTATATTTTAAAAATTGAATTCTTTATATTTTTTAAAATTGTATATAAAGAATCAATTATTTCTTAGAATATAAAATCAGGCTTTCAAAAAACAGATTTAATTTTATTTAATTCTGAAATTATATTTTCAAAATTAGATATTCAAATTCATACACTTACTTCCCCCTTCTTCAATTTAAATCAATGGATTTCTCAAACCCCTTACAATCCAATTAAAGCTTTTTCTCAATTAATATTAATTAAATCTCAAATAACTTATTATTAATTAAGTTTTTCTATATCTATATTCAAAATTATATTAGTTTTAATTAAAAATATAAAAAGATTAGCTTATAAAAATATACTTTTAAATATAAAGATTTATATACTTTAAATAATAAATAAAATATTAAATAAATATCAATATATATAAAAAACTCAATTATATCAAAAAAGAATATTTATTAAATAAAAAACTCTTAATATATTATCTCAACAAAAGATTAATATTCAAATTCAATATAACAAGCATCAAAAAAGAAGGAATTCTAATAAGAAAGCATCTTCTAGTTGATGTTATAGTAAATGTGGAAAGATTAGATATAATACAAGAACTTGTTAAAATAATATAATAAATCCTAGATTATTAGAATCTTAATAGTTTTAATTAATTGATTCAATGATTATTGAATAATATAGATTTGAAAATGTGAATTAAGGGAAAAGTGGCCCACTCGATAATATAGCCCACTCGATGATAAACCACGCTAATAGATACCTAGGTAAATATAAATATAAAAATATACCTAGTATACCTAGTATACCTAGTATAGTATATAAAAATCGCAACGCCGCCGCTAAAATGGACCTATGAACCTATGTCCCTATGCATCCATCTACACCAGGGCATAGATCGATAAATCGATACCCGACGACTATGTAAAAATGATAAATAAATAAATAAAAATTGCGTGACCGAATCATAACCTCCATCCGATAGTGACATTTCTTATATCCTATTTCGCCCCAGTTTCCGTTTTCCGATTACATTTCTGATTCTGTTTCCTGGGTATACCTGATTATGAGATCCTGTGATTGATTACCTAAATCGTGTTGTGTTTTGTTTTGTGTTTTGTTTTGTGGTGTGGTGCGGTGTGATGTGGTGTGGTGTTGTGTTGTGAGTACTGTGTGTTGTCTGGTGTTATTGGGCGAGGTGTACTCGTGCGGGGAGGTGGTGAGGTGACGAGGTAGGTAGGTACTCTCTGAATTGGGAGGTGGGAGGTGGGAGGTGGGAGGTGGGACTTGGGAGTTGGGACTCGAAGAGAGTTTTGTACCGATGGAGTCAGGTGAGATGGTGGGTGGATGGAAGGTTTCCTATCCCATCATACCCGGTGATCGTGTCTGATGTGATGAATGGACGTACGAGTTAGAGTTATTCCGTTGATTATTAATTTATATATGTGAAGCCTCCTCTTGACATCGAGGTTTTGGGCCGGCGTAGCCTTATTGGTGTTGTTCTTGGTTCTGGTATCCCATTCTCTTTACTTCCCATCTTCTAGTTTCGAATTCATATCCATGTCCATATTCATATCCAGTTTCGTACTCATCCCTCCTCATATTAACCATCTAAAGACCGCAATCCACAGTATTACCAAACTACTCAAACCCATTCCTCCGCCCAACCCATCTATTCGTGATCCTGCGCCACCCGTCACCACCGCCGCAGCAGGTAAACTCGCATTCACAAACCCCGGTCCGCATTGCACATTTACCATTCCAGCGGCTTGGGCATAAGTACCCGCTATCGCGCTCGTTCTGACCGCGCCCGCAGATTCAAAGACGGCCATTGTGTTTTTCAGACACTGGTTGCAGGTGGGTTGGGAGCCGCCAGGGAGACTCGTGTTCAAAGGGAGATAGTATATGTAGCTATCTGTTGGGGAGGAAGAATTGGTGACGGCTTGCGCGTAGCAGTATGCGCCATTGGAGGGATCTTTGAGACAGGATGCGGTGTAGAGGGTGGAGTAGGCGAGGAGACCTAGACGAGCTTGTGTGACGAGTGGATTGGCGGCGAGGAGATCGACCGAGCAGGCGGTGGTGGAGGTGATGTTGGAGGCGATGGAGGACATCAGGGTTGAGCACGATTGCGCGTTGGCGGAGCAGGAGGCATCGAGGGTTTGGGTGATGCGGACGAGGGATTTGGAGGCTTGGAAGAAAGAGTTGGAGTTCTATAGGAAAGAGGGTTAGTTTTAGATTGGATCTTGGTTGAATGTGTGCATCGATTGGATTTATTGGAGCTCTGGGAATTAATTTGAGGAGGAATAAGATTTGAGGAACAAATAATGCCATTGTTTGAGCTTGAATATAATGACCATTCTTCAATTCCTCAATCCCTCCCCCTTTATCTCAAACCCTCCTCCGAAAATAAAAATCACATACCTGCAATAATAATGAAAAAGGCAAACAAGCTTTAAAACTCTCGTTTGCCAAAAAGTCCATCATATAACTCGAACATGTTGAAGTGATATTACTCGTAAACCCACTATCAAACGGCGTGGGTAAACTGGCTGTTGTTCCCGTAGCAGCGGACACCAGTCCGCTACTCGTTTGCGATTCCGCCAGTGTTGACGAAGATGAGGGGGAATCGGTCGCGGTTGCTGCACTTGTACTTCTGGGAGGTGTGATTGTTGCTGTGGAGGTTATCGTCGCTACGTTTCTCTTTTTATTCAGATCGAATTCGAGGTCGGAGTCGAGATCTAGATTTGACGATTGAGGTTGAATCGGAATGTTGCTTGCTTTTTCTTGTTCGTCTATAAGTTCTCCTTCGTCACTAGAGGTGCTCGAGGTAATTTCCCAAGTCTTAAGTTCCGGAAGCGAATTGCGTGGGAGCGAGGGATCGGGTCGTTGATCAACTAAAATAGTGCCAGATCTAGCTAGACGTGCGAGTGTGGATGCAAATAGTTCGGGAATCTCTTCTCGAACTTCAACCATTCGTTCTTCAATATAAAATTCGGCTGAACATGTGGTGATGAGGAAGGAGGAAAATATCGTCAATAGTATTATAAAATTAGTTGGAGAAAAAAATGGAAGAAGATTACGAGTTTGGTAACTTTTGGAAAAAGAAGACGTCGATGGTAATAATGACGACGATGTGGTGAGAGAAGCTTGATTGCTTGAAACCCGTTTGGCGACGGTAGGGATGCGGATAGGGAGAGTTGGTGCCGCGACCGTTGGATAGTGCGACATGAATTGTTGCGAAGAGAAAGATGAAGGCGAATGAGATGGCGACTTCGATATCGACACCTCAAACGTCTTTTCCATATCTATATTCATATCCAAATCCAAATCCAGATCCATTTCCAGATCCATATCAAGATCCATATCCATATCCATATTGTTCAAAGATGATTGATGGGTATACACAATACGGTATATCTTTATTATCGTGGTTCCAGCATCACTTTTCAAATCTCAAATCGACAACCAGTATGATCGTCGGTGGAAGAGAAGTTGACAATTATTGAATGTTCGTTCAAGAAGGTCGGTGGTATTGTATTGTATCAATTGTTATGAAACGAGAGAACAATCGATGATTCTTCTTCCTTCAATCCTTCCCGTCCCGATTGTTTCTTTCCGAGCCGGATCGATTGCGTCGAAGAATGATTGTTTGATGTAGTACCTAGGTAGGTAGGTAGGTAGGTAGATATGTATGTATGTACTTTCGTCTGATGTTTATTCACTTGATTTCCTTGCTTGCTTGATTTTCCTTTGCTTTCTTTTCTTTTCCTTTCCTGTCTTCCGTCGTCGCTATATAACTTATCGTACCGTATCGAATTCGATGTTGATTGAGAATCAGAAAAAGGAATTATCGTAAAAAAGGTGAAGACCTCAATATGCAATGCAGATAAAATCTGCAAACGACGCAAAAAGTAATGTTCAAAAAGAATGACAGTAGTTGGAAAGGAAAGGAAAATCTTCTTGAGAAAATTACAATCCTTGGTATATAAATTAATTTTTTTGAAGTCGACGTCGATAATTCTTCCGCAGAAGGAGAAAAATGGTATGCGGAGGGGAGGGTGCTCGAATGATATTTGATCTCTTCTTTCAATCCTTCACTTCTACATCCAGTTCAATATCCACTTTCCAACTCTCCACTCTTGAATTTCCCCTTCTGGAGGCGTATGCCGGGCGCAGTCCAGGTAGGTTGGTAGTAGGTACTAGGTAGTCCAAGCAGAGAGATTGATTTGATATCTATTTGATTTTTGATATAGGCAAAATACCTTTTTCGATTTTCCAGTCCGTATTCAACCAGACCAACCACAACGCGAACAAGCTTTCTAGTTTCGTTTCGTTTGAAGCTTTGGATAGGTAGATAGGTAGGTAGGTAGGTAGGTAGGTAGGTAGGTAGGTAGGTAGGTAAGAGTTGAACTTGACTAGAAGGAAGAACCATACAAGACTGTGATGTGATATGATCACCAAGTAACGGAGACTCGCAAGAAAATCAATTAGATTGTAGATTGCAGATTGGAGAAAGATTTACATTGGAGTTCTTGATCCAATATCCGTTATTATGCCTCCATTCATCCAAGTACAAAGTATCACTATCACCATCTATGCAGATTCCCCTCCATCTCCTCCTCCATTGAGAGGATCATTTGGGGGGAGAATAATTAATATTCCGAATATATTATACCTGGGTACTAGGTAGTCACTACCTGGGACATACCCAGATTCTTATCCGTTCTGTATGGAGACATCCATCCCATGTGGCATTCAACCAGTCAGAATTGCATCTGAATTCAACTGGATGCTAAGATCGTCCCTTTGGGCAAAGCTGCAAGCCATCGAGACTACTACTTGGAGTAACCAGATGAGCGAGCCGAGCAAGCCGAATATTGAATTTTGGGGTGACGCGTGGTGATACGATGTTGCGTACTGATTCTTGGGATAACAGTTGGAATGGCCGAGTTGGGTGAGATTATTGGATAATTAGAAGATGTTCCTTCCTTTGTACCTACCTACTACCTTTTTTGAGAAGTAAGTATATTTAATCTTACATGGAATCTCCATCTACATGGAAATCTACATCTACATTCAACATCTTTCCAAACTTCAAATTCTTGAAACATCAAAACATTTTCCAAATGTCTCCCTCCTTCATTCTCTCGCCCACCAAGAAAGAGTAGGTAGTCAGTCAGATCTCTCGAGCACCACCCAAAAATCACTCTCCACTCATTTGGCCCAGACCACCACCGACCACTTCTAGATCTCACTCCCGAAGCCCCTCACGGTACCCCTGCATAAGTCGCATCTGAGCCCACATCGAAGCCCCAACCTAGTAATATGCCCGACACGCACGTCCAATTCCTACCAGGATGCTCTCAGAAGAGTCCCAGAGGCCACGCCATTCTGCTCGTCTCTCACCAGGAGACCGAAATGAGCGTGTGCGTGTATGGATTGGGAAGCTGGATCCATTATGGATATCGGGTGTTTGGCATTGGGGTCTAGGGAAAATGCCCAATGCAAGCACGTTTCTGGAGAGTCCTGTGGCAAGCCACGGGTGCGGATCATGGAAAGTTGGAAGAAAAGGTATGATGTGTGAAGAGCGAAGAGCGAAGAGTGAAGAGTGAAGAGTGAAGAGTGCTAAGATCTCTCTCTACTGTACGATACAGAATATGCAATCAACAATATCATGCATGGGATTATGTCATGTGGTGAACGGTTTGTTCTGAAAATAGCACTGAACGGTCCGTGAGATGCTGATGCCGATGCTGAGATGCAGATAAGATGCCATAGTAAGTGTAGTATTTGGTAGATTTGTGGAAAGATCAACATGTCTAGTCTAGACCCTCTTCCTACCTCAGCGCAAATATCATATCGTATGTAGCTTTCGCGGGTAAACAAATATAAAAACCAATGGTTCGGCTCCTCACATCTATCGATCCGAACGTCCTTACAATGAATCAATCAATTCCACGCGATTTCGGAAGCCAATTCCGTATATTAAATATCGAAAAAAAAAAACCAAATGATAGATCCAACAGTTATCCCATAAAACGCCCACGCTGTACGAAAGGCGGACTCCAGGCCTCTGAGGCTTTGGGGGCGTTGTGTAGCGGTAAGCAGACAAGCACAGAATGGCACTCTGTACATGAATTTTCATGTATTCCCCTTTTATTTACAGGACCAAGAAGGGTACGAGCCTATAGTAGTAACAAGCATGTAAGCCTCTCTGCAGCACCACATCAAAAGAGAGGCTTTGGGGTTCTCTGCATTGCATGTAGAATAAGCAAATAAGGAAGCAGGTCTCTCGTATGTAGGTACACCAGTGAGAGAACACGATATCCAGATATGCAAAGTCCAACATCGATATACAATCAAACGAAATCAACTCTCTCTCATTTCCCCATTCAACACCATCCAACAAAATCAATAATACACTCCAGCCTTATCAAAAAATCAATCTCGCTATCTTGTGTCCTTTTTCTAGTCGATCCATTCAACCCATTCAATTTACACCGTTTAGAACACAACTAATGCAGGCGTCCGGGAATTTTCACCTATCCTTACCTTGTTTACCTTGTTTACCTTACCTTGCTTCTTCTAAGCGTTGTACGAGCTGGTGTCATAAACTATAGGGCGCCACCAATATTTTCGTGCAGCAATGGAGTCTATCTGGTCTGGACTTCTTGAATAGAAAATTGGTGGAGCAGATACATGGCAATCTTTGCCATGAGAGCGAAGAATCCAATTCAAAGAATAGCTACCTCGTAGTTAAAAGTAAAAAGTTTGTGGAGAGACGGGAGGATTCTTCGTACTGCGCCGGACGGCAGATTTACATCCTCAAGGTTAACCCAATATTCTCGACAAGAATCAAATCTCTCTTAAGTCATCCAATCAATCAATCAATCAATCAATCAATATTCGTACAACACATAGATAAGAACCTTCGATACACAATAGCATCTCGATTGCGGATTTGCGATCTACCTATTCCTCAGATACAGTCGTAGTGGGCGGTTATGGTGCACAATTCTAGAAACCAATTATTGATTCTGAAGTGAAGGACGTACTGTAACCTTAGTAAGATGCAATGTTACCTTCTTATCTGAAAATGGTGAAGAAGTGATTATGAAGATGATGGGTGTAGATGAACCAGGGAGAATATCATGTGAGTATGTGTAAGAAGGAGGAAGTTTGAAGAAATATTGTAGATACCTACCTAGTATACCTACCTAGTGCTTTGTAGTATGTTCTCCTCCTTCCTCCTTCCTTTTACAAAACAAGTCTTCGGGTTAGGGTTAGGAATTATCTGAGACAGGCACTTAGGATTAGGGTTAGGAGACGTGCAACAAAATAATATTGTTGTAGATCAATGCACGTGAGAAGTGAGGGATTCGTCCAATGAGATTGTTGCACAGACACGGGTGATGAGAATCAGGTGAGAGCGAATAGAATGTGATGGTTGAACAAATTGTTGCAAATAGTTTGTGTAAGAGTGTGAGTATTGGAGTCCATAATGTATCGACATCGACAAATCCCTAGGCAAACAGATAGAATTCCGATGAATCAGGGACATGATTCACTCATGGTACCAAGACAGCAAAGTAAGAACACATTATCATCACGTTTCTTGTCGAATGTTTAATTTAAGCGATGTTGTGCCGACAGATAGATTGACGAAGCTGGAGGGAAGGAGGGCGAGGAGGGGTAGTATGATTTTTTTTGGATGTGTAACAATAACATCATCATACTCCACATAAGAACTTCCCTTTACTTGTTTGAAAATAATTCATCTTCTGGAAATTGGAATTGCAAAGCAGAAATTTTCGGATACGTTATCTTACAACGACTTATATAATCCATTCATCCTTCATCCATGAAACACAATGTTATTCCACCTCAAAAGTCAAAGCTGAAACCAAATATTTCAGGACCACCGCTAATATCAAGTCAGTGTCCATTGTCCATCCTGCTGGGAACGAAAGCTTTCGATTTGGAATATAATGAGGAGAGAATAGATGCCGCTGATTGAATAACTCCGTTCGGCGAGATATAGTATCAGGCGTGACAATAAGGTGGGTGGTTCATTGAGCTGGTCGATCTTGGTGTTGTTCCTTTTCGGTGTTTTTAGAGAAACTTGACTATTCGGGTATACAATGGTCTCTTGGTAAGCCTAGGTATTACGCGACGAGATTCTTCTTGTTCGATCAAGAGCCACCAGTAGTTTGAGTAGCTGCTGAGGATAGTCGAAGATGATTGAGTTCAGTGTAGCCGGGAAGGTCAACTACAACCTGGAACTGGAGGTATCTGACGAAGCCTCACCACGGATGGCGTTCAACATCTTGCCCGAGGCTTTCCTGTAGTCGGAAAAAGAAACAACAATCCACTGGTGAGATTGTTCTTGTGGGTAGTTGACAACGGAGCCAGACGTGGATGCAACAAGGACAATGAATGAAATTGCCTGTGGCCAGCATTATCAATTCTTTAGGATCAGGTGTTTAAATACAAGTGGCATCTTGTGGATCCGTGGCTCTGGATATCCTATTTAAAATTCCACGTCGGCTCTTTCTTCCAACCACAGCATTGAAAATGTCACCACCAAACACAAAAGGCTCCATATTAACCCATTCGTATATTTCCCCACACCTTACTCCTCGAAACTCTCCATCCCGGGTTTACGGGAGAAGTTCAACCACTTCCAAATATATCATCAAGGATGAAATCACTTAGTCGAGTCACCACAACATAAAAATCCTGCTGCATCCCGCACCACCCTTCATTCTCATAACCTCCTCTTTTTTCTTTGATTTGCTTGTTCGTTTCGTCCCTTGCGTCATTCTTTCGCTCCATCTTTTGTTCTGTTCAAATCAATGTGAGTTGTGGTGAAGAAAGGAAGGAGGGGCAGATTTGATGTTGGATGAAAGAGTCCAATCAGCATGCTTGGATCGGGATACTGAACCGACCATTAGCATGATACGGTCCTCGGGCAGTCTTTGGTACTTGAGGCTGAAATCTGGCGACCAGGTTGAATACTCTGCTGTGCTTCTGGTGCATGCTTCGTTCAATACACCCCACTTGCTGATGCTTCTTCTATGCCCTGCTTTGCAATGAATTTCAATGCGGTAGTGGCTTCTTCAAATTTCTGCCCTATCAACTTTCGATGGCGGGATGGCGGCCTACTATCTTAGAGCTGAGGCTACCGCACCAGCATCGAGAGATCATGAAGACATCAAGGCTAACATTCTATACGGAAAAGTTTCTCGGTCTAAAAAAAGAATTGTTGTTGGTCGAGAGATAACACGACTTCGTATCAACTGTCAAGAAGAAGAGAGTCTCTGATTAAAGCTCTAGCAAGTGCCTGAACTAGCGGCCGTGTCAAAAAATATATCAGTTCCTCCAAGAGAGAACAAGTCGATGTCCCATTTGAGATTCAGAATCATCCTATCTCAGGTCAGTCATGATAATGCCCAGAGAAAGCTAGCACGTACCTGGATGTTCATAATATCAAAACAGTGGAATGGACGACGTTAGTCAACAATCACGACTTCAAGAGGGGTGGGGGCACGCCGAAGCGGCTAGAGGAAAGAATAGTTTATTCTGATATGAGACTAATAATACAATTTGAGTAACACAGCAAGTTTTCGGCCTATACATACACCATTAGAGTGGTACCAACATCGTTCAATCTTTCCATCAGACAATCCCGAGCTGAAGCAAAGATCATGAAAACCTCTGCTTGCCCGCCCTTCAATTGCAGTCTTGTCTAATCAACATTTGAGACAGTCAGCTTTTTGTCCCTGTCTTCTTTGGAGGGAAATCTGATGTTGAATGAAAGAGGGATCCCCAGGAAAATCCTCTTTTCTTCTTAACAGCCTATCACCCTGAAATCAGTTTGCCTCGAGCTCGAATTCAACCAATAGATAGCATAGCTGTTTCTGTCGGGTCCGGTGCGCTCTCTACGCCCCTTGAAGATCCGTGGGTCAGTTTTAGTCTCCCTACAACTCCCACTGTATACCAGAGCTCAATCTCAAGTAACGATCGACACCTGCCATTACAAGTCATATTACTCGAAGGAACCAAATCTGATGCCACTTTGGTGGAAGATGAGAAGACCTCATGAACTCTGCAGTAGTCATGTTAATTGGTAGCCAGCAATCAAAATTCCTTCCAGTCCTGGCTCCGCCGCTTCGATGAGTAAGGAATGTTCCTGCAGCTGACAGCGCGGAGTATCGTGAGTCTGGAAGACTGTTCGAGAGCGTGGATGTAGGTACATTGCCTGGCCCAGCGAGCTTGGTTGCAGAAAGAGTTGGTTCCAAATGGTATACGTAGACCGCAGCTTAGATCACCGAAAAAAGACCGGCGGCTGAATTTGCACGCATGATATGCCGCGGTAACTCTATTGGTACGTGTCGAAGTTCCACTGTCATCTGAGCCAGGCGAGAAGCACATCATCATCGCTAGTAGTCGGAGCCGAAAGACCGATTGTTGTTGTTTTTGGCTTGGAATACCCAGCAATCAATTGAGCAGTTGAAGAATTTTCATGTTGGCATTTTGAAGACTCTTGTATGAATTGTTCACATCTCCTGGGGAGACCTATTACCATAACGCGGATGCTGCTGGACAGGTC